TGTCCAAATCACTGTTCGTCAGAGTGAGTGAGGAGATGGTGTGACAGGGAGCTACAGGGACCTGGTGCCTGCATATGGATTGTATAAACAATACAGCCAAGCATGGTGAGAGCAGCTTATCTGTGCCTATATTTATGAGGAAGTGTGCTACTGTATCAGTATGAAGCAGGGCCAGGGCTGCTATTAAAATGGGAATGTAGGACAATATCTGCATTTTAAAGTGGAATTATAGTGTTAAATCAGTTAAAGTGAAGCTACAGGTATAAGCTATAAGGTATGGGTGCAAGAGGCTCCCAAGCAAACCAAACTCATTGCCCATTACTTTTTAATGGGTTTTACTATCTGGTAAATTGCAGCTGCAAACATAACGCATCCAATAAAAGAAATCTAATTGTTGAAAAAATAACAAAACAACATAAATACACTGACCTAACTAAGTAGTGTGTGGAGCTTTATCAGAACATTCCCATAAAACATGCAATTAGTCATGCATTGGTCATCATTTTAGGCTTTAATTTATTTCAAGGTTCATAGGTTAAAGGGTCTTTATTTTCTGCATTGACCAAATGAGCAGAAAGCAGAAACACAGAATCATAATGAAAGAGTAATGAAAACATATGCATGCTTTCAGTGAGTTATTTAAAACACAACAGAACTTGGAATAAAAGCAATTTTGTGTTTGCTTCAAAGGTCCTATTCACGGAAACACAGTTCATGGACTTTAAACATTTTGTATTGCATTTTCAAATAACCCATACAGATTTCAAACAGATAAACAGTACAAAATTAGCAATTTGGTTATTGCAAAGTATTATAATTCACAACCATGGTTTAAACTTCAGTTTGACAAAGAAGAATAAAATAGTATATACCCAAACACTTTCTTATGATGTCTGTTTAACACAGCTTTTAATAGTACTTCTCTTTATGTGTACAGCCACATCTGTAACACTCTTTGTTATGACTAAAATAACTGGTAAGCAGAACTGGCCTTCCTCATTACCATGACTTTTCAAAGGGGGAACTAAACATGCACTATTACAGGGCAATTAAAGGGCTATTTTCTGATCTATGTTATAATGTTGTTTCCTCATCAAAAACAGAAGCTGTGTTTGGTTTTATTTATACATGTTTAACACACAAACCCTGCATATTGAGTTCTTCTCTCCAACAGAAAACACCATGTGTTAATATTGGAAATGCTCCTCTGTGTTTTTAAACTCCATGCACTTTTACTAGAATCATTTGGATCACATCATCCCTGGAATTGCCATTCTCTACTAAACAAAAGCTAAAAGGTAGCTCTTAATTGAAAACTAACACTTCATGACATCACAAGGGGGAACAGAGCAGTTTGGAAATGTAGACTGACTAATAATAAAGGATTAGTCAAACATGTGTGAATGAAACAAAACAACTATGAGTTTGTTTAAGAGGAGTTAACTGCATTCTAATATGACCAAAGCTCACAAGAATAAATTTTAATTTTTAATATAGGATCTTTAATGCCTACTTCATCTGAATCTCTTCTGAGGTCTTAGACAATGCCCTCAGACCTCACACACTGACACTAACCCATTGTAATTGAGTTTGTATCTTTGAATCTAAACGTGGGATAACGTCATTGACCTATTGACCTTTGTGTGAAATGAACCCCACCATAGTTATTCACACTAATCACTGAAGCACTTAACATATTTATAGAGGACTCAATAAAACATAGAGATTTATTGACTTATTGCCACGAGTGCACATGGTAAATTTGACCAATACCACAGAGCCATTTGCATGTGCTCAATTATACATGCAGCGTGTGACAAACATGTGCACTCCCCTTTAATGAGAGGGAATTATTTATATCATGCTGTGCTCTTATCATCCATCCAGTCCAACAGGTACAAAAAGACCCTGTTCAAGGGCACCCAAACTTCTCTGCAAGCTGTTACCTGGACAAACATGCATCATTCACCACTTCAAATGTATTCACATTCTTAGACTTAGATTTAGCCTTAGACAAACTGTGTTGATCTACAAGGGAAATGATTTGGGGGCCATAGCTCTCACATCACAATATACTGTAACAACAAAGAGCAAAAATATAAATGGTAATAATAAATGCAAAGTAAGCAGCAAAAATAATAAGAGAAGGTTGTCAAATAAGGCATAAAGTAAACATTTTTAAAATATAAATGTAAAAATAAAACATATAGAAATACAGTTACATAAATATATCTCAGCTATATACATACAAGAGGTAGTAAGGAGAAACTGCAGATGAAGTAGTGACTGACATGACATTGTGTTATCTATTATATAAGGGTGAGTTGTTGTACAGTTGTATGGAGTATGAATGGTATGAATGAAGTCCTGTATCTCTCACTGTTTGAGCAAAGCTGTATAGGAGCCTCTTTGAGAATGAGCTCAGTCCCCCTATATTCATTTATTTTTCAGGGCCATGTCAGTCTTTGTAAATCTTACAGTGTACTGCTATAGGTCCCCTGCTTGCATTTTAATTCAACCATTTGCACTGCACCTTCTCAGCATGGAACAAAAACATCAGAAAACAATTAGTTTCCTAATTATTATGACGCAAAAAATATGCCCAAGTGTCTTTCTGAAAGATAATTGCATTCTGAGTTCTCCATTAAGAGGCTCATGAAGAGATTTGTAGCCTCTTTCTCTACTCAGCGCCACAACACTGGTAGAGCTTCTTAATTAATACTTACTCAAGCCAAGACATACAAATGCATTATAGACAGATTGTAGTGGGAACCCGCTTGCAAAACAAAACATCTGTTGTATCCAGTATTATATTTGGCCCTATGCTGAGTACTGCAAATCTGTCTCACAACTGTATTTACTGGGTTATAAACCAAGAGTGTCTGAAGAAGTGGACATCACCCATAGTATTCAGCTTACAGCAGCAGTTACAGACAGAGGGGTGACAATTTTTCAAAATAAAGCCAATTGGAGCCAGAGTCAATGCAACCGGAAGCCCCCTCATGCTCACTTTCTGTTTGGAATGTGCCAGCTCTGTCCATTTATATAAACACTTTAGAGTTAAGTGGTTATGATTCAGTATTCAAATAATGGTGCAACATTGTTTATCCTGACATAGGAGTCTCAAAGAAATGTAAAACCTGATAATGGGAAGAGCATCCAGTGTAAAACTACAACCAAAGCAGCACAGATAAAGAGGAAAATAAACTGTACATAACTTCAACAGAGTAAGAAACACAATGCCAGAATCCAGTTCTTAAAATATGGCCTAAAATGCAAATGCACTACGTTAATTGCCTGTTCTTCAAATTCAGGTAAGTGTGTTTAATAGGTCTACATTTTGCTAATTCAAATCTTGACTGCAGCGACGTTAGAGCAACATAAATAAACAGATACAGCAAAAGAGCTTGCTATGACAACACATCTAATGCCGATAAATATTAGCAATGAGCTGGGCAAACACTGTCCAAATGCTGGCCCATGCATTTCCCCCAGTTTCTACTCCCATTGCTTCTGTGATGTGCTAGTCAATTTTATTTAATTTTTTTTAGTTTCTCTGAGTGTTGCATAGAGAATGTTGATGTAAAAAATTAATCAGCAAGTTTCCAAACATCTTTCTGCTTTCTGGACTCAAAGTCAACACTGTTACATCCATTTAAAGACAGAGCCGATGTTGTTCTTGCACTCTGTGGCACCTGGCTCTCCAGATATAATCTATTTATGGCTTTCACACTTCATTATGCTCAACACTAAAATACTTTCCTCTTGAACGTGTTTATCAAGTGTCTGGGAGTTATCAGTCACACAGCTGCAACACACAGCAATAACAGGGCACATCTCGGTACGACGGCGCGCACCCAAACACTGCTGCTTACATAATGTTCCTCGACCTTGAGATTGTAGATATGTGACATCTACAAAACCCTGTCGGAAAATCTGAACAAAAGCATTATTTGAAATGTCAGAGCGGCTATGAATTATTATGGACCGCCACAATAATACAATACAACAAAGTGGGACTCTCTCTTTGCATCTGATGCTGCGTCGGGACAAAGCTTGAATTAATTTAGCAAAAAGCCCTTTATAATGTAAGACAGGTCATTGGTGTGATCTGAATACAGTAGTAGGTATGAGTTTCATAGCCGGGTTAACAATAGAGGTTTGACATAATCTCTAAAACAGCTTTTTGGAGCAAATTGATGAGTGCCTCTCAACATAAAACCCATTCAAGAGTTCATAAAATATTTACAATAGTAGAGTGTCATCCATTTAACTGAATTCACAAATACAGACCTAGACACAACACACTGCTTTAACTGAACACAGACAGATGATAATAAGCCTACTTCAAACAGAGAATACGGTTAGTAAAAGTAGAATATGCTCATTGTGGCAGCCCAATTATAATTGTGTATGACCATAACCAATTACAGTTGTCTATTGACATCAATATGATTGAGCCTACTCCACCAAAATACAATAAGAGACTGTACTGGAATGTTGGATGTGCCAGAACTTATGAAAATAGCATGATTCTGTCTGGAAATCATTGAAGTCTGCACCATATTAAATGACATACACACACTGCCCTTGGCTATTTTAGACCTAATCCTACAATGTGTCCACTCACATCAGTGAACAAGTGCACCTCACTTTTTCTAATTGTTTTCTAATTCAGTAAGAAAATGGAACAATTACGTAATAAATTAATAAATATACACTTATTTTACTTTGTTTATTCGTATCAGTTTGGAAGTAGAAAATGGGTCAGCAAAAAGTAAACACTAGTTTTGCACTGTCTGTAGCCCACAGCACAATTATGACCTATTTCACCCAGCACACAGACTTTTGAATTCCTCTTTCGTTCTCTACTATAACTTTAGTGTTTTTGTACAGTTAAACTTAGCCTTACAGCTGTCCTGACCCAGCTTCTAAGGAATCTACCATTAGTCCATATATGGAGCGCCCACAGTGAGCGACACGCCCTGCGCACCTCCCGCTCACGGCCTTGTTGTGTCCTGTGGCCGCTGCAGCCAGGAAGTCCGCCCGCCCCAGCCCCCCTCCTCCGTGCGTGTCATCCATTGTTGGGAAAGAGACTGCGACATCGAAACAGGACTTTACCGAAACTTCTGAGGTAATTAATCTGTTCACAATCCAGACTTCTAGTCACTGGTAATTTGGTGCAAAGAGTTTTTCACTGGGATGTGTGGATCGTCCTGGGACAAAGGAATAGCGGAAGTAGCGGAGAAACAAAAAGGGTGGAAAACTTTTGAGGAATTCCATAGTTCCACTCCTCCATTTTGAACTTTTAAACTCAACTTTTTATCATTTGTTTTGTGGTGAGTTATATCTTGTCCGGTTGTTAAATGTACTCAGTGATCGTGCGAAAGGTAGTAATCTCGATAGATCTTGTGACTAGGTGGTAAATGGCTTATCTCGGCTATCGGAGCAATGTTGTGTGGGTTAGCATTAGCTTTAGCCTCCCACTTACAGTAGGCTACTAGACTCGTTCGGATAAAGATCCACTCGTTTTCGTCAGCGTATGCCAAATTTGCATTGATTGTGTACAATATTTGCGTGTTTCGTTTTTACCTTGGGTAAACAATTTATGGATTCACAATCCCAATAAGGCTAACACTGAAGTTAGCACCGTACCTCAACAGGTGTGGACCCGCCCTTGGTAACATGGTGTTCGCCATCACGTAACCTGTTATCTTTTGTGATTTATCTTTATACTTTTACTTTTTAATTATACTACGGCTGTTTCTTATAGCTTGACACTTGTTGCATATCGGGATGATTTTATACAGTGTGCCCTATCACATCTATTTAGCTTCCATTGTCAAACTAACATTGTCAAATCAAGAAACATGTCAGTGTAATCTCGATGTCAGTCTATCCCATGGTCAACAAAATGTGAAAAGTAATCAGCTGGGTGAGATTTTTAGGTCAGTTTGGGCTTTTATCCAGCAGACTTTCTCAAAATCAAGTTTATTTTAACCATGTGTTTCTGTTTACAATAGAGCGTATTTACAGTTACCTATGTATGTACCTATGCTTTTCATCTGTAGTAAACATGAAACCAAAAGTCTGCAGTAGTGATTGCAAAAGTGTCATCATCACTCACTCAGCCCTCAGCCTGTACCCTCAATTTCTTTCTTCACTTTACTGCATAACAAGCTAAACTCAAACCAATGTATTGTTCACCAAATCCTAACTTTGCCTCTGAAGCAGTGAAGCCCTAGGGGCCTGCTGATTATCCCTGCCCCTCTGTGTTTGATAGGTAATCAATGGAGTTGCAGTCTCAGTGTGAAAAGAGAAATCGAATGTAGGCCAGTGTGTAACTGTGCTCTGCCACGCACCATTATTCTGTGAGGACAGGCCAGAAGGGCTCTGCCTCTGGTCATTATGTCTGAAGCTTATGCCTCTATGTTACTCAAAACTATAAAGACAGAAAAATAGCATCACCACCACACGCTGTAGGGAAAATCATGCCTTTGAAAGCAGGAAATAATTTTTGAAGTGCAGTAGTTAATTGACCAATATTTTTTCTAAAAAAAATACAATCCACATAGAAGCACATATTGAAGATGTGTCTTTTTCATTTTTATTTATATTATATAAATATTGAGCTTCAGGCCTGAAGTCTCATTCACCAGCATTATTCAGCTTGGGTGAATTGTGCCTCTGGGTACTGAGCTTGCTGGGCAGCGTTTATCGACAGGACAGTTTCTGTTGCATGATGATGTGTCTTAAGGCTACTGTTGAAAATAGTAGAGTAACTGATATCTTTCCTCTGTTTTGTTACAGGGTTGTAACAGCCACAATGTCAACCATCAACACAGCAAACATCAACTTCAAGTGGGATCCAAAGAGCTTGGAAATCCGCACTCTAGCAGTGGAGAGGCTGCTGGAGCCCTTAGTCACTCAGGTGAAACTAATCTGTATAACATTGTGTGATAAGAAAGCATATCCGTTTTATATTAAATATGATTTTACTAGTAACTACATTTTGAAATAATGTCAATGGCCAATGTTGACAGAAATTTCTCACTTGATGTTGACTTTGAAGATAAAACAGAATAAACGTTTGACCAGACAGTGAACTATCAAGTCTCAGTATGTACCTTTTGTCTCATCTTTATTAAATTATGTAATTGTGTTCTGGCTTTAGGTCACAACGTTGGTTAACTCCAGCAACAAAGGCCCATCCAACAAGAAGAAGGGCCGCTCCAAAAAGGCCCACGTATTGGCTGCTTCTGTGGAAACTGCAACCCAGAACTTTTTGGAGAAAGGAGAGAAGATTGCAAAGGAGAGCCAGTTTCTCAAAGATGAGCTAACTGCTGCTGTGGAAGATGTCCGCAAGCAAGGTATATTGAAAACACACTTATTGCAGCATTGTCTGTACTTCACAGGCTGTACTGAGTGCCTCTTAAGATAGCTTACAAGTTATGTATGATTTCTCCTATCTACATATCATCTGCCTCTGTGAACAGCCTTAAAATAAAAAAAATGCTTTGTGAATGACAGATTTGTTTGGTATTGGATGTTTGGGCAGCCCAGTAATAGATTCATTTTAGCTCTGGGTAGACGTTTCACATTCATTTGATGAATTAGGCTGCTGGTGTCTCGCTTTCTGTTGGGATTCAATTTAAGCATGCCTCGACCCTGAAGTGCATTGATTCTTTTTAGTGAAAGAGTAAAGAATCTAAATAGTTATTTGTCCACTGTCTGTTCTCAGTGTGACTTCTTATTTCTACTGACTGACTTCTCTCTCAGTTTGAAGTACAAAACAAACATACAACTTTATAATTTTGTACTAGACATTAACAGCAGCTACAAATAAGATTGAACCTAATTGATTTCACGTTGGAGATTCACTTGTCATGGCAGCTGGTATTAAGTGCAAATAGTAATAAAAGGCAATTAAAACTAAGATGAAAAATAAGATATTTACAAGAAATTATAATTTTATCATCCTTTTAACTGAAAACCGCAACCCTGTGCACAACATGGCTTCATTAATTTGTCTTTATACAAATTAAGGTAACATTTGATCTGATTTAATTATCCCCAAACAAATCAGACCGAGCCGCTTTTGTATTTTTGCATGTTTTCAGTCCCACTCGGTGATGGTGTGCCACTGAGCTGTTAACACTCCTTGCTGTTTGAAAAAGGTCAGACATGTTCTGTTTTCAAATGGTGCTGCTCTGTACCGGTTTTGGGTTATTGATGTGTTCAGTGGAACTTGTTTGTTGTTTTAAATGGCATGTTGCTTTGGTAGTGTGATCAGATTTCTTCTTTGTCGCAACATGCCCAGTGAAGCATTTCAGATCACACTTCCTCTATGGCTCCCACTTTTGTAAATCAGTTTTCCCTGCGATGGATGTGGAGCTGATTTAATCATCATACTGCTGCAGTTTAGACAATATTGTTTTCCATCTTCATTAAAGTAGTCAAAATAATCATTATGGTTCAAGCTGAGACAAAACCATGTTGTTTTCAGTTGTTAGTTTACCAAAATGTAATTGTATTGTTTGTTCTCAAGCAAAAGGAAATGGCGAGCCTAGACAGGAATGCTAAAAGACACATTGTGTGACTTTCTGTTGTTCCACGGAAGATTCGTAGCTGTGTGCTAAACATACAAATGATGCTTTTATTCCGCAGTGATAACTAAATTACTTCCATTTGTTTGTAGCGTGTGTGTGATTGATGTGAAAGCCGTTCAGATGTCACAGACGGTTCAGATATATTTAAATACCCTTGTGTCTTGTGGGAATCAAACCATACATAGTCAATTTCCAATTCAATTTCATGCCTCCCACAAGAGTCAGGATTCCTCGGTCAAATCAGCTGCCAGTGGAATTACCATTTGTCTTGCAATGGCAGGTTTCATCATGTAACAAGTTTCATTTATTCCTTTGTGCTTCACTGATATCTGTGGCTGGTCTGACACACTGGAGGGCCACAGAGACTAGGGAGTTGTGACTGCAGGATGGCTGTTATCACCGGTGTCAGCGCACTGCTCCCCCTGGTGCCCGCGCAGTTCGATGTGTGAGGAGTGGAGCTGGATGACATGTCAGCAGATAGCCCGCACAGAGCTCCGGGCCCGGGGAATCCACTGTAGTTGGGCTAAAGCTTCCACTGGGCTGGAATTCACTGCGTTGTTAGCTGGTGCCTAGGCCTGGCTGTCAGCAATGCCAAGCTGCTCAGTGGCGCGTGCTTGGACTTATAATACGGCTATTGAGAAGGCACACACCCCACCCCCTGCACAGAGAGAGCACTTCACCCAGCTGTGGCTCATCAGCTGTTTTTAAAGAGAATACTGATCGCAGCCATACCACTCACTGTTTGATTGTAATAAAAACTAATCTTTTATCCATTTATTCGATACCTGTTATCTACTGTTTTTCTAATGGTGAGTGTACACTCTTGGGCCACTTCAGTGCGCTCTTGTCCTTGCTCTCGCTGCTGCCCTTCCTCCTGTCTGTGTCTCTGTTGTCCCGCTGCCCGCCTGCCCGCTCGCCTCATTGTGTGATATACATTTTAATCATTTCTGTGTTCTCTTGGTGGGCCGCAGGTAAGCCTTAGATGGATGAGAGTTTATTAAAGGCGCGCTGATCGCTATCTGCCCCCTGAAAATGGCCTTATTGATTTTGTCCGTGGGGGGGAGCGCATTGTGTTTTTGAGTTGTGTGTGTTGTCGATCATTTGCACAAACTGCTTCACTGCGCTGCTGGCGACAGAATCGGCGTTAGATCTTTGTTTTGGAGATTGATTTGTGTAATTGTTATCCTGTTATGTTCTGTAAAGTGTAATATTTGCTCTGCTTTAACCAGCAAGCCATTACTCATCCACTAAAAAGGTTTTTGATTTGCTTTGTCAGAGAGCATAAACCATTTAACAAGAACATCTTTTTTCATTTCAGTCCAACTTTAATGTCTTGAGAGTCGTAAAATTGCTACATCATCCATTCAAACTCACCATTTCTGAAATTATGATTAACATTTTAATTTTATTTTCTGACATTTGACAAGAGTATTTCTCTAATTTAGTTTGGTAATGAAAAACTATCAGTTGCCGCCCGTACACGAGGCGTTCTTGCGAGGAGCTGTGTATTTCATTACATATAATATTTTATGATGACAGTTGCTGCTGATGCGGCACCACAAAAAGCCACAGGCACCTCTGCCTCACACTCAAAGCACTTTTTGGTCGATTTGACAGACTCCCGCATCACAGTTCAAACAAAATGGACCCATACCCACTCAATTTGTGATGTTGTTTTTTTTTCTTTTTACTCTTTGATCTATTAATCCGCAATCAAATCTGTAAAGACAAATATATTAAATCCCATTTAAGGCTTCTTTTATGTTTTTTCACTTTCCAGGGGTAGGTTTTGTGATCAGCATGCGTTAGGCAAAAACATAAAGTGTTATTACTTGGGGGGACACCATGGGTGTTCAGTGACTCTAATTTATAATAACTCAAAAGCTGCCTCTGTCAGCAGTTCTCACGTTGTCAGACTGGCCCCTGTGAGTATCTCTTCTGCAGGCTGCTATTTTACTGTCTCGGCCCTGACATTAGCCTCCCCTTAAATAAATGACATCATCCCCACACAAAAGGAACAGTGTTTGGTTATTCATAATACCCTTTTAATATTTGCTCCTCCAGCTTTTTGTAATACACTTCTAATTTAACTACAAGTGTTTGTTAAACTAATAGTCTTACTTGGCTGAACACATCTTATAGCAAGTCTATTCGAAGTGAAAAAGAATCTGAGTCAACTTGATTTACATCAGACTTGATTTGAGTGGACAGTGGGTCAAACCGGTTTAATAAACATTTGCCTTTTTGAATATACAAACAACATGAGGAGGAATTATATGTATGCTGGCAGGGAGTCACCACTGCAAAGATACTTAATGCAGTTTTAAATTTGAGGTTAAATTTGGCTGCGTTTCCCCTGAAGTCAGCCATTTACAGATTTACTGTGGTGGTGATATTGTGAATCCACTGCAGTGTTTGATGGTCCTATCTGGACAAACCTGAAGGGTGTCATTTGTCTGTGTCATGGCTCGTATATGAAGATGGACAGGGTATCATGGTCGCAAAATGGTTTACGTGAACACAATCATCCCAGCAGCAGTGACCACAACAGAGCTAGAAATGGTGAATGATCATCCAGTGGCCAAGGCATGATTCTTCAGTCAGTCTGTGTTGGCAGTCAGTGGACTCTAAAGACTGGACAAACAACAAAATGTGGTATTGCTGTTGGATGTTTGAGCAATAGATGTCTCCATAGATACCTGTGGTCCATTACTGACAGATATTAAAGGTCCTCTGTTATGTAAAATTGACTTGTGATCTTTAAGCATTGTTAGACTGTTGTTACCTCATCAAAAGCATACCTGAAGTTGAGTTTTCTTTTATTCACACTTGTTTAAGTACCCCTGCACTTGTAGACTGTCTATATCTCCAAAGCTCAAAATGCGCTGTGCCACCATGTGATGTTATGTACTGGTAGTTTTCAAGGTAACGCCTTCCTTTTACATTTAGTTCAATAAAGACAGGGTAAATCCAGGACTGAAATCATCCATATGATTCTAATGTAGGTGCATGCAGTTTAAAAACACAGTGGAACATTTCCCATATTACCATATGGCTTCTCAAGGTAGAAAAGAGTGTTTTCTGTTTGAGAGAAGAACACAACCTAAATATGCAGGATTTGCATGTTAAACATGTGTGAATGAAACAAAGTAGAACTAAAGGTATGTTTGTGATGAAGAAACAACATTATAAAATAGAAAATACTGTAATATGGGCTTTTTAAATATCTCAATTGTTATTAGAGACTAAATTCTATTATAATTTTGCTCATCTCAAAAAACATTTTAACATAATTATTATTTTTTTGGATAAATTTTTCCCTTGTAACCCTAGTTTCTGCCATTTTTAAGTCACCATCTCAATCCCTTTCAGTAGGCCTGTAGTTCCCCTGGTATGCAATGATGTAGTGAGTTGTGCATTGCTGATATTTTGATTGTAAGCTCAATAATATAAAGCTGAGGTACATAATATGTCCTTTTTATTAGCTTGTCAAAACTTGCATTCAGCCAAGACTAAAATAAGTTATAGGCTAAATAAAAAAACAAATAAAATAAATCACCACTAGAACCTTTTGCCACAATACTGGAGAAGCAGAGGAAAACAAATGTAGAAGTTGTTGTTGAATTATTATTTTCTTATTTCTAGGAGAATCTATGAGGATTGCCTCTGGCGAGTTTGCGGAGGACCCTTGCTCTTCTGTTAAGAGGGGGAACATGGTACGAGCTGCCCGGGCCCTTCTTTCGGCTGTCACACACTTGCTGGTGCTGGCTGACATGGCTGATGTCTACAGGCTTCTTCTGCAACTCAAATTGGTAGGGAAAAAAAAAAAAAACCTGTCTCACATATTTTGTTATTTTATTATTTGTTGTTAATCTTTCTAATGTTTGTCCACAGGTGGAGGAAAGTCTGGTTAAAGTGCGTAATGCAGGAACTGAGCAGGACCTTGGGATCCAATACAAGGCTTTGAAGCCAGAGGTGGACAAGCTGAATGCAATGGCTGCCAAGAGACAGCAGGTAATGGGGACTAGCTGCAAGGTCATTTTGAAGTGCCTCATGGTGAAAGCAAATCTGAAACATCATCACAACAGACCACACAGGGAAATGGACAGGAATGTATTATTACAGAATATATGTACAAGATTAGATAATGAAACGGCTAATGGTTTAATATGCATCATCATAGGCATACATTAGCTCAAACAGAAACATGAATGATTATGGTAGATGCTAATTTTAACACAATCTTTATTCATTGCAGGTTTTCATTTTAATGCGTCCATTTTCTAAGTGCTAATTTTCCTGTGATCGTAGATGATTTTGAGTGGGAACTACTAGTAATTTCCTTATTGTTCCGCTTTGATTAAAGGTGAACACTGATAATTATTTTCAAGAAAATCACCAGTTTGAATTTCTTTATTTTTGCAGGCTGTTTTTGTTCAATTTAATAAATGCTCTACCATCTTCTCCCTTCCCTTTATAATGTAACTGCGATCACATCTGAATCCCCGCACATTAAATTGCTAAGGCACATTCTAATGGGCTGATTATGAGTGTGCTGTGTTACCGCAGGGGACAGGAATAAATCTGGGTCATCTAAAACAAACTCTGCCACACTTCCAGTCTTCACAAGACCGTGACAGACTCATTTTGAATCTAAGTACGTTATAGCAGCCGTCCTCTCTATGTACAATGCAGTCTGTTCACCCCTCGTTCACCTTGTTGCTCCTGTCTTTCTCTCATTGAGCCCATAGAACTTCCAGTGAACTATAAATAACCAAATTGAATTCATCTTTGTGTCAAAAAACAATCAGAGCATTCTTGTCCCAATCTACATGCTGGTCAAAAAGCGAATGGGTGTGAGCAGGGGGCTATGAGGCATTCAGTTGTAGATTCTAGGGTTACAGGTGTCTTAAAAATTCAGTTTAAAGATGCACTATGTAACATGCTGCTCTACATGGAGATGTTGGTTGCCTTGAATGTTTCACAGTGTGGTAAACATATCTATGTCACCCTTACTTAATTATGTTTGTGTTTTGTTGTGCAAAAATACTTTAAAAAACATGCATTCTTTCTATGAGTTGGGTCACTGGTGGGTTAAAATAAATCTTACTTCTTCCCACTCCATTTCGAAGATCAGTCTTTCATTGCATGAGTCAATCTTAGACTCAGATTGCATTAATCTTTGTACCACTTTGTTTCGTTCTGCTATGACATAGCTCGAAATAAAGATTATTCCCTTCTAATAGAGCTGATCTGTCACTTAACTTAGTGGTGTCATCCATTTGTTTCCTTGGAGATAGATAAGTGTATTGCAATGCTGTGAAACCTTCCAGACAAAGCATTAATATCTCCATGAATAGTGTAACATTTAAATTTGACGAGACCAATGATCTGTTTTTCCTAGCATTTATGTAACTGTAGTGTCTGATCTGTCTGATCAGGAGCTGAAGGACGTGCAGCACAAAGACCAAATGGCAGCAGCTCGCGGGGTCCTGCAGAGGAACATCCCCATGCTGTACACTGCATCCCGAGCCTGTCTCCAGCACCCTGATGTGGCAGCATACAAGGCCAACCGTGACCTCATCTACAAGCAGCTGCAGCACGCTGTCTCAGGCATCTCCAACGCCGCCCAGGCCACTGCCTCCGAAGACTCCGCCCTCAACCAGCCAGCGGTGGGTGGAGAACTGGCCATCGCGATCAACAACTTCGACGTAAGTTTTGGTGATGAGTCAACTGCACTTGGTGTGACCTCTCTGCACTGGTCCTGATCTTTTACTTGTGACAGATTTTAAATATTAAGTAACATAAAATAGTCATCAACACAAAGAAGTCTGGACACAGAATGACTAATAGGAAAGAAAATTGGAGGGCGCAGGGTCAAGATGTAAATCATGGCTGAGTTGTGTGGACAAATTAGGGCACAGCTTGGAGACATGCTGACTGTTACCCTGTGTCACTGTATCTCCAGGTGAACGATGGACACACGCATCACAAAAAGAGCATTTAGGCATGGGCTCCACCCAGTCTTTAATATTCATGGTTTTTGCAGTGTGGTTAATTTAAAAGATGGTGGTATATAAATGTAAAGCAGTCTGTAATGTTGTCACACAATATCATCATAATAACAGCTGGATAAAAGGTGCAGCTAATCAGACTAATGCTCTCTCGTGCCGTGAATGCAAAGATGATTATGCGTTTTCTCAAGTGACTTTACCTTCAGGTGGAGACATCACATTTGTTATGGTGTGTGAGTAGTTTAGTCTGAAAGCTGTGATACTAATTTTTACAAACCTCACTTAAAGGGCCCATGTTGTGCTATTTTCTGATCTATTTTATAATGTTGTTTCATCATCACAAACATACCTGTAATTGAGTTTTGTTTCATTCACACTAGTTAACACACAAACCCTGCATTTCTACGGTAGATTCTTCTCTCAAAAGTAAAACACTCTGTTACAGCTTGTGATGTCACGTGGTGAAACAGAAGTGCACCACTGCACTTTTAAACTCCATACACTTTCACTAGAATCATTTGGATCATTTCAGCCCTGAAATTGTCAGTCTCTACTGAATAAAAGGTAAAATGTAGCTGTTAACCTAAACTACAGCTCTGTGACATCAAAAGGTAAGACAGAGTATTTTAATCTTTAGAGATGTAGATAGCCTTCAAATGTAGGGTTACTTAAACATGTGTGAATGAAACAAAACACAACTCCAGGTTCTGATGAGGTGATAGCATTATAATATGTCTTAAAGCTTAAATTTAAGAAATAACTGGATTAAAATGAATGAAATTGAACTTTACAAGGAAAATCATATGGCCAAACCAAAATATATGTCTTAGTGCCGTCTTAACTAGGGCCTGACCGATATGGATTTTGTTGTGGCCGATATGATACCGATATAATGGAAGTTGGAGCTGCCGATAGCCGATATAATCGCCGATATATTTAGTGATGTAAAAATTCACTGTAAATGTTGAATTGTTTAAAAAACTTAGGTTTGGCTCTGGTGGATTTTAAATTGGGTTTATTTAGGCAACATTTATTGTTATTCTGCCTCTTTACATCATAATTACAGACAGTAGGTTGGCATTTTTGCATCACATTCTAGACACTAGTGATGGGTATTCCAGTTCTTTTTAGAGAACCGGCTCTTTTGGCTCGGCTCACTAAAAGCTGCTGGTTCTTTTGGCTCCCAAGTGGCTCTTCAGATTGTTTTGTTGCAAGCAGGACTAAAGCACGTCTAAAGCAGGACTGAATCAGGACTGAACCAGGTCTAAACCAGGACTGAAAAAGGACTAAACCGGGACTTATTTATTTATGCTAAACTACAGTCAAATATGCTCGTTTTTTAATTTTTATTTTTTTTAAGCCTACGTACAAGCAAATTTCTCAAAGTTTCGTTTTGAGCCGCTGCCGCTGTCAAACCACGAATCTGCACGCGGCGTGAAGAGGAAAAAAAGTGAGAGAAAGAGAAAACACGGCTCTCAATAAGGATCAGGCTGCCGTCGTTCCCTTCAAAGAGCCGGTTCTAAGAGTCATTTCGTTCGCGACGGACCCATAACTAGTAAAGAAAGTAGCGCTATTAGCCTTTAGCCGTAAATACGTGCGCGCCGCGGTAATTAATATATGCGCAAATGTCATAATTCACACGTCTATTCACAGCTCATTTACATATCAGTGCAGGTCCAGTAGCAAATATACGGCCAATATAGTCACTTTAGAACAGACCAATAGAAAACAGTCTGTTTATGTGCGGGAGCTACAGCAGCTAACACATAACAAATGACAAAAACTAGCTTCAGAGTCGACATATTTCCAACACTCACCGCTCATACAGGCTCCTCCTCACATCACAAATCTGCACTAATAAATGTCCTTTTAATCCAGACTCAAACCGATTGTCCGTAAAAAGAATATAATCTCAGTGTTTGGATCTGTGTCTGCAGGCGTAAACAAACACACGTGAGTGACGCGACTCTGTGGTGTGTTCAGGGACAGTACGGACACACACACTGACAAATGACTCCGTAGATAAATACTGATGTGGAGCCACATATTAGGACATTTATCTGTCTGTAAATTGGATTAAATGAACAGAATGTAGAGAGTCTAAGCTTTATAATGAGGTGTAACATGCCCACGTGAAATATCGGCCCCTATCAGCAAGCAGGCCGATAGCCGATATGCCTAAAGTTGCCCATATCCGCCGATAATATCGGTCAACCGATATATCGGTCGGGCTCTAATATTTAATGATTTAAAAATTCACTGTAAATCTTGAATTGTTTAAAAAACTTAGGTTTGGCTCTGGTGGATTTTTGGGTTTAAAATTTATTATTATTCTGCCTCTTTACGTCATATTTACAGACAGTAGTTTGGCCTAATGGCATTTTTGCATCACATTCTAGCTACTAGTGATGGGTGTTCCAGTTTTTTTTAGAGAACCGGCTCTTTTGGCTCGGCTCACTAAAAGCAGCTGTCTCTTTTGGCTCCCAAGTGGCTCTTCAGGTTGTTTTGTTGCAGGACTAAACCAGAACTGAACCAGGAGTGTCAGGACTCAGTCTCCATCTATCTCCCTCTCTCGAGCCCAAGATTAGTCCTGGTTTATTTATTTTATTCTGAAGTGTAGCCAAATATGCACATTTTTTCTATCCTATGCACATGCATATTTCTGAAAGTTTTGTTTTCAGCCACTGCCCGCTGTCAAACTACCACGAGTCTGCACGTGGCGTGAAGAGAAAACCAGTGAGAGAAAGAGAAAACACAGTTCCCAATAAGGAGCAGGCTCCCGTCATTTGCTACAAAGATCCGGCTCTAAGAGCTGCTTCGTTCGCGACTGACCCATCACTACTAGCTAGTAAAAAAAGTAAACTACCGCTATTAGCCTTTAGAGAAGAGAAAACAGCCTGTTTATGTGTGGGGGCTACAGCAGCTAATAGCTAACCAATGAGAAATGACCAAAACCAGCTTCAAAATCGACAATTCCAACACTTCCAACACTCAGCGCTCACACAGGCTCCTCCTCACATCACAAGTCTGCACTAATAAATGTCTTTTTAATGCAGACTTAAACCGATTGTCCGTAAAAAGAATATAATCTCAGTGTTTGGATCTATGGCTCTGGGTGTTAACAATCGCATGTGAGTGATGTGACTCTGGGGGTGTGTTCAGGGACAGTATGGCCACAGACACAGACAAATGACTCCATAGGTAAATACTGATGCGGAGACACATATTAGGACATTTATCTGTCTGTAAATTGGATTAAATGAACATAATGTAGAGAGTCTAAGCTTTATAACGAGGTACAGCATGCCCACGTGAAATATCGGCCCATATCGGCAAGATTTAGGCCGATCGCCGACATGCTTCCAGGTGCCCATATCAGCCGATAATAACGGCCAACCGATATATAGGTTGGGCTCTAGTCTTAACAGTTCTTTATAAATAAGGGCACCAGTGAGGATAGGGTTTGAGTTTATCAGAAAGCAAAAGTCATTTAATTTTCCTATCTAACTTAAAACTTTTCTATTCATTTGCTATGTACCTGCTATGACAGACTTTGTAGGTGTAGCTGCACATAAGCATACAGTCTTATGAATAAACATAGTGGACAGTAGTAAAGCTGAGGCTGATCAGATGTTAATTTGATTCATTATGACACCATGAGCACCCTCCCACTGACTGTTTGTTTGCCTTTCCAGACCTGCTCCTTTCTCATCCGCTGCTTCAAGAGCGCGGCAAAATTAGCAAATGAGTCAACCCCCTTGCAATTCATTCTGCCTCTCTCCCTCTCTTTTCTCTTGGTTTCCCTTCGTCTATCGTGTGCTTGTTGCCATGGCGATACAACACGCAAGCAGAGGAGGTCAGATGAGATAGAAAGGGTAGTGGAGGTGGCCGTGCTAGACGACAGCATGCCTAATAAACCTCACTTCTCGCATTCGAATTGCATATTTAGAGGGAGAATAAAGGCCCCGAAGTGCTTTGTCAAAGGGGAAGTAGGATTTCTCTTGAAGCCACCAAACCGAGTGGTACCTTAAGCCTCTGCATTGCCTCGACAGCATGCCAACTACTTCCCCTCTCAGCAGGTGCCCTGTCAATGCGAACATTTAGTGTCTCTCCACCTCTCACATACAAGAGAACGCACATTGAGGTACTGTAGCACTTTATAACCCTGAAGTATTGTTGAAACCAAGACACTTAAAAAGGTAAATTACATATTCATTGACTGTCTAATCAGCTAATCAAGACTTTCTGTTACTTCATTTCACTTGCATGGCCAAATAATTTGATGGCTATAAATATATTTAGAAAAACAGTGTGATGACAATGCACTTGACCTTTTTTTTTTTCTTTTTTAACCAATGCACGAGTAGTACTTCCCTTTAAACTTACACTTTTCTTATTAATTGGGCTTTTATACTTTTGCAATAAAATTATGCTTGTCAAAAGTTACAGAGTGTTCTTTTGAATGCTGTTCACTCTGTTTCTGACAAAGCAGATCTTTGCGTTCCTGTCAGTTTTTTTGTAATGATCTCAGGATAGCACAGTATAATAACATGATGTCTTTTTACTCTGTATGTAATTTCCTGTCTGGCTCTTTTCCACAGAAACACATCATTGTGGACCCCCTGGCGTTTAGTGAGGAGCGCTTCCGTCCCTCTCTGGAGGAGCGCCTCGAGAGCATCATCAGCGGAGCGGCGCTGATGGCCGACTCCTCATGCACGCGCGATGACCGCAGGGAGCGCATCGTAGCTGAGTGTAACTCTGTGCGCCAAGCTCTGCAGGACCTGCTCACAGAGTACATGGGCAATGTAAGTGTCTCTTCCGCCATTACTGTGCCCTGTCCATGATCATACACACATTGCTCAGAGGTCTGCAAGTTACTTTTGATTAGACATATCACACACATCACATTACTATATCAAATTATTGTTCAATAATAGACCTGTCATGATAAATACTATATTTACTTATTGTAAAATTTATAAAAGCTGGAACAATATAGATTTGGGCCTCAATATTTATTGTGTGCAGAATTTCTTTGCCTTAATGCAGTGATTTTTGCCATTTTTATGCAATATCATGGGTTTTAAGCTTTAGAGGGTAGAATAAATAACTTCTATGGGTGATTATAAGTTCATTCTACTATTTATTTGTGGCAAATCATTCTTTTAAATGACACTGCATATTTAAAAAATGGTTTACTAGGATTATACTATAGGATTGTTGAATTGAATCTTGAATTATTATTGTAACATGGCTGTACCATTTCCTACTTGAAATTCTCTTTCCTAGTGTAGCCACTACTTTATCTTCACCATGTTTTCCACACAGTTGAGTCTGTTAGACCTTGGCGTTTAAGGCGATGGACCATTGCCATTTAAGGGTTAATGTATAGCTTATGTTAGTCACAGGCAATGCTACAAATGAATAAATAGAAATGGAGCAGTAGGTACTGGAGCACAAATACGTCTGAGGAGCCACTCTGGGAAAGTTAATTGCCTATGTGACTGCTAAGCTCTCTGTGGCTGATTGAATGTGTTTTTTATTATAGTAGGAGTAGGCCCTTTATTTTCAACTGCGGAGATTGATGTGGTCCACTGGAGAGCTATTGTCTGCTGGGATTTCATAAATTGGATGACAGTGTTGCCTCTGAACAACTTTTCTCAAATTACATGACCGGGTGGTAATAGCATTTAAAAATATGTTGTGACTTTCCTCATTGTCTTTCCCCGTGTAGCAGTCATTTTGACCTGATATTCTCAGGTTCACTCGGATAAAGGCCATAGTCTTTAATTACAAATAAAAAGAACAGTTACTTCATTGTGTTTGTGTTAACACTTGACACACTGAATGATTTAAAGATGTGTCTAATATTCAATGACACTACTTTACTGTTAATGATGTGATGTCCCCAGTTTCCATATTTTCTATTTGCTTTGCCTTCCAACAGCTGCTACATTCACCTGTTTCACTCTGTATGCAGGCATCGTCTCAGAGTGAGCCAATGTTCACTTGAATTGTATTAATGTCTTATTTATGACCACCTATGATCCAGAACTGCAGCACTTTTCCTCTTTTCTCACAGTCACTGCAAAGTTACTGCACTTCTCAGTTTGTGTGTGTGGCCAATTGGCTTGTCACTAGCCCAAGCTTATTATTTAGAGGACAATCTGAAAATGCCTTGCCAATATTATATTGATATATTTTGGCATTTGATAAACAACACTGTTTTAAGGTAGTCACCTTGACTGTTTGTCTGCACTGCTGCTGTTTCAGGTTGTGAGAGTGGCTTGGCTTCAGTGGGCAAATCTTAAATCTTAATTGAATTCAGAACAGTCACTGGTTTCAGAAAGTGCATACTTAACTTGGCATTGTTGTTTAAATAGAAAGATGCCTTGAAATTCATTTGGATCATTGCATAATCTGTCCTGAACTGTGACCCACAACACAGGAGTCAGATGTCACCTAAGTTTACTTGTTCTCTGCCTGTTATGGCCATGCTCCTGTTATTGCTCATTCAGGCCACTGCCACATTATTTTAAATCTGCACACATCATGCAGGTTTCCCTGGTCTGCTTCAGAACCGGTTTTCTACATCACCGGACTTTGCACACCTCTCAAATGATCAGCAGAGGTGCAGTGTGCAGCAGCACACTGGTGGGCAGGGGGTAGGATGGCGACTGCTCTTTATTTGATCAAATGACACGAGCACAACAGATCCTTGATGTCATGGCCCGCTTTGAGCTTCCATAAAAAATTAGGGCTGCATAGTATATTGCAATCAAAATCAAAACTGATTTGGTTCAATTAATAGATTGTGATAGATACTGCAGTTCTCCTTTTAGATACTCCTTTTATAGAATAAATATCGGTGTACCTGCAGTTTAGACCTCTACAAACATATTTTAAAAATTCATGGGATTCTTGTATTAGTTTATGTGCATTCTGAATAGAATCCTATTTTTAAAAATTTGATTGCAAATCAAAGTACAATCCCAATGACTACTACTAATTTGAATATTTTTTTGTGCAGCCCTAATGTTCATTTATTGTAATTGCATGACATATTTGCCTCTGTCTGAAGAAGCTTTATAAAAGAACTGAGGTATCATAAGACAGCAGGTATTGTACTGAGCCTGGTCGTGTCTCAGATTGACACACAAGTGTTTACAGAATTTGGTTCACCGACAGGGTGATGTGAGGTTGCGCTGACATATTAAGTCACTGACATTTAAGGAGTGATGCATTATCACTCTGGTTTCGATGAAGAGATCAGCCACTGTGTCTCTCCCTCCTACCCCATAAAAACAATAGGTGGCTGTTATAGTGTGTTTTACACCTAAATTTTAAACCACATTTCACCCTTTACACCTTGAACTTTTTACTAACTGTCATTTAAAGTGAGTGGCTTGGCTAAACACTGTTATCTGTAGCTGTATGTGTTAACCAAACCATATTGTGCATGCTATTATTCTCAAACAGGGCTGATGCGAGAAGAGGCCAGATTATGTAAATGAATGAGCTTTTGATGCTTTTGAGGGGAAGCAAAAGGTTCAAAGGGGCTAAACCTAATTTGAGACAAGCGCAAAAGCAGTTCAATTTATCTAGTTGTAATCTCATCTAAATGCATAATTAAAACAAATTACTCTCCACACAATGTAACACAGAAAGATTTAGTGTCCCCAAGGCCTTTCCCATATTTACAGCCTCCATAAAACACTGTTCTGTCAGTGAGAGCCAGTCAGGCACCTTTTCAGACATGGACCTGGATCTTCTCTCCATCTTTTGCAGTATTACGAACTGGGAGTGACACATGACCACACAGATACTGGGGGGTATTTAGAAAAAATCTCAGTGTAACATATCTGCAGAATATCCACTTTTGGAAATATCATCACTACTGAATTATTTCTCATTTTGTTACTCCCAGTAATATTCCTAAAGTTAAAAATTATTATCAAAACCTATATGCAGCCCTGCCAAAATGTGAAGGTGCACTGTGCAACATTTTTGGTGGACGGGTGACACCTGCACCTCTCCTTGGAGATGTTATTGTTTTGCCTAGAATGATGGTGGTGTACCCTTTGATTTTATCTTCTCCTGGCACCAAATATAAAATGTGACTAAGCCAATTTGAATGTAACACACATGCATTTTAGCACTCAATTGTGCCTGAAGACAGTTTTACACCTTGCTGTGGTTGGAGTCGCCAGACTGTGCTTTGGGTTGAATCAAGTTAAATGAACTGATCTTTTTTACCCTTCACCATCATTAAACCTTCATTCTTAGACAAATGTTCACAAAATATAGGACTTGGTTAGAGTCGACATTGCAAATGCAGCCATTTATTAGACCTTGAAAATTCAACAAATCAGTCACCTGTTGCACTGGAATTTGTAAAGATTTTTTGTTTCAAATTATTTGTTGCTTGACCTACTATTTTTAATGATTTTATTAGCTGATATAATTTGATTTGTTATTTTTGGTAAGGTTATGGGTCTTGTGTTAAATGTTTTGCCATAAATCTTGTGCAGTGCTTTCTGGTTTAGAGACACCAGTAGTGGACTGACCATCTGGAGTGTTGGGATTGCTCCCAGTTGGCTGTTTTACAACTGGGAACAATGCATCACAAGAATGGAAAATAACTTTAAACACAGCTGAATGGCAGGGAGATATTGCTATAACAACAGCTATTGGCCAAGGTGCCATTAAGTACTTCATCACATAGACCTGTCAGGTACAAGTATAACAAAGTATACTGATTCATTTTGTTCATGCAAGCATTTTCACTCAAAGCTTATTGGAACGATCTGAAGTTTTTGTGATGACTTAAGAACTTGGCCGACACGTCAGCACTCTTGTCTATTTATTTGGTTATATTAGATATTACCCACTTTACATTATGCATAGCCTTGAGAGATCCCAAAAATAAATTTTCATAAACTTTGCTAATATTATTGGAATACATAGATTCTGTAAATTTTCTTGATACCTTTTCAAAAATAATCTACTTACTGACATTATAAACTGTCTATTTAGAAGTAGGCTTTCACAAAAGCACAAACCTTCATTTTATACACCAACCCGAATAATAATCCACTGACTTGGTAGTTTTTGGGTTATGCAAAAGAATGTAAAGATTGCATCATATGTTGAGCAATAAATACATTAAAATTGTGTTTTTGCTTCCAGTCTCGATCAATATGTACGTCCTACTAAGCATTTTTTAGATTTATGGTTGGCCTTGTAATAAGCACCTAAAGTATACAAGTGCTGAGTCCTTGAACCCAGCAGACTACTAAACCCACCTCTCCCACCTGCCCCCCCCGCACCTTAATTACTAAAGCAGGTTTTCTGTTGCACTCATCAAAAAAGGGCTGTTAAAATGAAAACACCTCTCCCAGTGCGATCACCCTGTCTCTTATTTTGACGTGTTGGCATCTCTGGAAAGGCTAGCTTGTTTTAGACATATAGAGTCCAGACTAAATCCAGCAGAGTGAAAGGTGCCTTATGTACCTTTTTGGTTAGGGGTCTGTCACTTGCTTGTTTCTGTGGATATGTTAGTGCTCTGACTAGAATGCTCCACAGTATGACATTAAACAGCTCTACCATGCATTTATTTAATCACAGGTGGTTTTATAGCTCAAAAATACCTAGAAAAACAGGCATTCTGACTGTAACCGGGGTTGCCTCTCCACAGATCTGACTTGTAACTTGAACTGGTTGGGTTTCCATGGAGGTAGAAAGGTTTAATACCATACTGTGAAACATTCCAGACATAGCAATAACATCTCAACAAAAAAGCATTTGACGGACCCTCCACCAGAAAAGTTAAACAGTGCACCTTTTAAATAAGTAATACGTAATGTATGTAAGTTGTTTGTGACAATTAATAATTGATATGATACTGTATGTGATATATAAAAATATATCTTATTCATTGATGCACTTTGGTTAAATGGCTGTCAAGTAAAGCTTCCCATTAGCAAAGTTATCATTAATTACTGAGCATTACAAGATTATGGTTATACCGAACCAATGTTTTGAATTTATTTATACCTAATTGTGTTGAAGTTGATTGGCAGATATAGCCTAAAATACATCACTAGCTGCATTCCCAGAATCATCTTGGGTTATTGTTAAAATAAATGTACCTAAAATACAGTGTTTCCCTTAGATTTGGTCCAGACTATGGTGGCTCAAATACCATCGGCATTCATAATTTTCTTTCATAGTTTGTGGAGTTTAAATGTCACTTATTGCCTGTATTTCATATTCTAGCAGTCTTTTTGAACAGTGTTCACTTTTTATGTTATGTATAAAGCAACAAAGTGACATTTTAAAGCAAAGTCTTATCTTTTCAGACCATTGGAGGCCACCATAGTCTCTTCTAGTAATGGGAAACACTAAAATGTATATATTTATAATCACTTCATGAAAGATTGAAATCTTCTCCATTTAGAAAACCACTTTTATGCTGTATCAGATTTATTTAAAAATATAAATGGTTTTAGGGCAATTGTATTTTTTCACTTTGGCACATCTTATCCACTTTACACATATGAAATTGTACATTTACAATAGAAAAGAAAGGGGGAAGAGAAAAGCATTCATTTTGCAAAAAGAGCTTGTAAAAGATTGGGGGTTGCGTCACTTTTTTGTGTTTTTATTTTGTTGGCAGGACAAAAGTTAGAGCAAGAGGATGACAAGAAGAAACAAAACAGTTTACAAAGAGCCAGAGTGCAAAGGGTGCATATTTCTACAAATTCAGTGGAATTTCTGATATCACTTGGTACAAGTTTAGACAGTGAGATGTCAGATGATAGACAACTTCTAAGAAATGTTACACACATCCTCTCTTGTCAAAATGTGAGTCTCTACAAAATTGGGTAGTGCCAATTAATAAAAAATTCCAACTGAAATGCATAAAGTGGTTGTTGACTGTGTAACATTATATAATACCCTATTGAAATGTTGAGATTAAAAGATTTTTGGTTTACACACATGTCATAAGTTTTTAAAGATTCCTAGGAGCATGAGCTGAAATACACAAGCATTACGATCTTAAGCTGAATTCATAGTGATGGCACCAGGCTACATGTTGTCGTGCACTCTCCCTCTTACTTTTTGAACCAAAACATACTGCTTAGTCACTTTTTCTTGTTTTGCACCGTCACTGTCATTTGTTGACTCATGATTTAATTATTTGTGTCGTCAAAACTCGGATGTATCCTGTAAGTACTTGTGTCTCCATCAGTGCTCGGCCAAAAAGATGCTCTTTTAGGAGACAAGGACATTAGCCTATCGTCCCATCACTTAGCCTCAATCTCTGTTCACCCTGCCCCCACCACCAAAGTGAACACAAAGCAGCGCGGGGCTGCGGCAGCAGCAGCTTTAGTCTGATGGTAATGCACATCCTCTCCCTGCTGCATACCAATGTGTCCTGACCCAGGCTCGCTGTGCGCTTATCACTGGATCTCCATTTGCTCTGGGGTATTGACCACAGTTTAACTTGACACGTGTGGCTGTCAGACGTGAAAATCGGGTGCATATTCTTTTCCCTAACCCCCTTTACTTGGTGTAAACAGCACCTGTGTCTATTTCCCTAGGAAACTTAAACAGAAATGTCCTTGTTGTTTTAGTGGTCTGAAGGAGGAATACCCCTGAAACAGTTTTGAGTCACTGAACAAGCAAAATGTTGCTGGGTCACTGGTGTGGTTGACAGAATATTAGATTCTTTTTGCTGCGTCTTAATTGGTTCAATCTTGAGCCTGTCACTCCTGATTAGTTTGAGGAGTAAAAAAGCTAGGCCACTGGAATGGTTTTACTTCAGAGTGAAATAGCCCCCTATCGGCTGTCTGCACCATTCAGGACTCATTGCTCTACTATCACAATATAAAACATTTCTCTTAAAAAGTAAATCAAATACCGCCAATAAATGGTCTCTGTGTGGCACTTTAGGAGTTGTAAAAACCATAGACAACAACTCATATACTCTGTGTCCAATATATGGAAGACACCCATCTGTTTTCACTTGGCAGTAACAGTGACATATTAATAGTAATGGAGTAGCAGCTCCGTGTGTTTGCACAGTTTAAAAGTCATACTTTCTTTGCCAATTCATTTAATATTTTTACAAATCCCTTCAACTAAAAGTTAGTATTTAGATTTTTTTAGGGAATGAATTTCATTAATAATAATACAATTTTGCTCTTCCATGAACAGTTGTTGTCCTTTTATTTGTAGCATAATGACACACGCATGTTTTCCAGATAGAACTCAGAATAGAGTTTTGTAATAATGGTCTTTAATGTATCATAGGTTCCCCAAAACAGTGAAGCTACAAAGCAAAACATTGTGATAAAGTTGTCCAATTCAATTGCCTCTGTGATTAAGTGATGGGCATACAGTTACTGTGGTGCAGTTAAAAAACAGGAGTTCAAAATTCACTTGAAAAGAAAAAATGTACATCACATTTCTCCACTGACTGTATTCTGTTAGCAGTGGACCTTTGGCCCAAATATTTTCTGTGCTGCAGAATATAGAGACAATGTGGAGACAAATCTCACAGTTTACAATTTTCTCATTTAAAATGATTGCCCCTGCCTTACACAACCTTGCATTCATATAAAAATAAATTTGTGACTATCTCTACATCATCCCTATTCTTTCAAATTTACCCTCTGTCATTGTAGCATTTAAATTTTCTCTTTTTCTTAAATCTCACTTGTAGAAATAAATCTTTTTACAGAAATTGAAAAAGAAAACCATAAAAGCAAACCCTGTATCATCTGAAATGGTTGAATGGCAAACCATATGCTTTAGGAATAAATAAGAGTTTATACTTCACACTCTTTGTAAGGCAGTTGCTGACATTTGCACTGCCCATAGCCATTGATGATGACAAGTGCCCCCTCCTCGTGGCTAGGCTCGTACTCATTATATGGCACCTGTGTGGCTAGGTCTGCCATAGGTTGCCTTTGCTGGGTCCTCATTTGTCTGCGGTTTTGGATAGCTGAACAGTGGCGTATCCGGCGCAGGGTAGGGGGGCAGCACTTCCGTGAGATATACACAACGAAAATGATGAAAAAGAATGAAAAGAGCAGGGCCATAGTTCCAATGATTACCCTATGAGTCATAACAGTGTTGTCCATAGCCGAGAAGTCATCCGTTACTGCTGCCTCTTCCGATGTAGTGGTTGTAGCTTGAGCAGTGCCTGGTATCGGTGTTGTAAATGTTGTGGTCGTGGCTGTGGAAAAGCTCACATATTCCTCTGCATAGTCCTGCGTGGGGGTCGGCTGCATAATTCCAAACAAAGAGCTTGTGATTTCGGCAGCTGTAGTAGCATCTGTGGTCGTGCTTGCGGTTTGAACAACCGGAGCTGAAAAATTCTGACAAAGCTGGAATCCATAAACTGCATCCAGTATCTCCTCTCCCTGGGCGTACTCAGGACTATGGCAGAGAATGGAATGTTCCCACCTTCCCCTAAAGGTGCTTAGCCAAGTGGCTAGGGAGCAAATCCTTTTGGTACATTCCCAAAGGTTGCTAGACAGCCCAATAGTACCTAGAGACTGCCACATATCCAAGACTTGAGGATCCAGGCTGCTTAGTTTGTTGTTATCCAGAAGTAAAATCTTCAAATTTGGCAGCGTTTGAAACACATCAGGTGTCAGGACTCTGATCTCATTTCCTGTGAGGTCCAACTTTTCTAAAGTGGTCCAGGTCCACTCCATGCCACACGTCACATTGTTGATCTTATTCCACTGCAGATATAGAAACTGTAGGGCAACAAGGCGCGGGAAATGGGCCAAGTTGATCTTGGTCAGTTGATTATGCTCCAAGTGGAGCTCTTTAAGTTTAATGAGCCCAGCAAATCCATTCCGGGCCAAGCTCCGTAGACGGTTGCTGCTGAGACCCAGATATTCCAGGCTGCGACAGTCCCAGAAAGCCCGGACAGGAGTGGTGCGGAGTAGGTTGGAGCGAAGGTGGAGAATCTGAAGCTTCCTCAAACCGTGGAACAGTTCAGGCTCTAGGGAAGTCATCTGGTTGAAGGACAGGTCCAGGATCTGCAGGTTGATGAGGTGGATGAAGGTTGTGTTGGGCAACTTGGTGATTCGATTGGAGCTCAGATTGAGGTCCTTGAGCTTGTACAGCCCTTGAAATGCGTCCTCTTGTACGGTGGTGATCTGGTTGTGATCAAGATGGAGCCACGTGAGTTGGCTGAAGCCATAGAACTGGTCGGGGCTGAGCTCGGTGATGCTGTTGTGGCGCAGGGACAGCCCCAGAGCACCCTTGTCCACACCATCTGGGGGGGCCTGGAGCCCCTGGGTGTCGCAGTAGAACTGCAGGTCCTCACAGCGGCATTTCTGAGGGCAGGTTGTGCATGTTGCAGGAGGCAGCAGACACACGAGGAGCATGCTGATCACACACGCACACACAGCCGCTGGTGCTGGTCCCACCAATGGCCACCTTGAATGGAAACCTGGGTGGGTTGAAAGATAAGAAAATGAACTATGGGGCGGGAAAGCTAATCTCTGCAGAGCACTTATTACTTATTCATGGTGATGATCCGGCTTTCTCTGTGCTTTCATTTTTTTCTCTCTGTGCACACTGGCTTTGGTACAGCATGGGCAACTTTGATGTTACATGTGAACATGTGTTCTTTGAACTATGGCTTTTATGCCATTCACATGAACAAATAACTTTTAGGCTACAATGAATGTCTAAATATGTTTCAATGCCAGACATGGTCTTAGAGGCTGTTTAATAATAGCTCTTCTCAATACAGGCTCTGTTTTAGCATTTGAATGCAGCTTCATGAGCAGCTTTTGACAAATTTTACATGATTTATCAGATTTCTCTCCAATTTGCTGTTTGTCATATTTTGTCTTTTATCAACTTTACCAGTTTTAATCAGTAGAACAAAAACTTATGCCAGATGTCATTGAAATCATGTCAAATTTTCAACTTGTGACGGAGGAAAAATGAAGGACAGTCGCAGTAAATGGACAAGGCTGAGGAGCTTTTAGTGCTTAGCCTCCCTCTCCCTTACTTGCATATCCTATTCATGTCCAGACCTGCAATATAAAAGGGGCTAACTTACCCATTCTTTTGTGCACATCGGAGGCTGCATTCAACTGTCCTTTTCCGCAGACTCTTGGAGCAACCAGATGGAAGAAGAATCCAAAGGGATAAAACCCTTTTGATTAAGCACAAAAGGAATCAGCCTCTTTGGGAATAAAGCAATTCGGAGCCCACACAACTGAAACAAAATATGAAATTCCATGTCCCAAGCTTTTTAATCCTTGTCTTTGTGCCCATTAAATTCCAAGTTCAGAATGTCCAAGCTTCATTTTCCCTCTTGCCAAAATCCTTCAGACGTATATTTCTATATTTTCTCAAGTTAATCAGTTGCATCCAAAATGACTCCGGTGATCAGGCTCCCCCCTCCTGCTGCTCCTTCTTTTTCTCTTATTTGTTTCCTCTCAACCGCGGTGCCTGTCACCTCCGTCGCTTAATTGGAGTCGAATGGTCCCCCTCTGGTTTATCACGGTCCTTGAAGCCCTAACTTGTTGATGTTAGGCAGGCGCGATGCTCCCGATGCCGGTGGAGACTCTCAGCATTGCCTCTGCAGAGCTGTGAGCGGAGCCCGTCTGCTAGCGGAGACGCAGGGAGAGAGAAAAAAGCAGAGCGGGGAGTCAGGGATGTTATTCTGTGCTTTTTGTTGCAGCCACTCAGTGCTACAGAGTGGTGGCAGCCTGGCGTCGATCATCACTACCATTTCTCTCTCTCCTCCGCTCTCCCACACAAACAGCCGGCCGCTCGCTCCATGCCTCAGTCACTTGCTTTTTGTCTCATACGCACTACTTGTGTGCACCTCCAGTCTTCTTTTCCCTCCCCCTCCTCCCCCTAAAGCTCCTCACCATCAGAATATTGATAACTTGAATGTGTTGCAGCAGCTCACCAGTGAAATTAACCACTGCTGTAAATCTTGAATCCTGCCTTGTTTTGCAGGAAATGTATATGAATGTACATGACACACATAAATAAACAAACATTACAAAGCAAATATATTTCATAACAACTGTTTCTGGAAAATGTCAACAATGGCAGAAGGAAGGTGCTGTATGCTTGTATCTGGGCAGAAGTGAGGAGGTTATGGAAGCATAGGGTGTCTGGCTTTTATTCATAATTTAAATATTCTGAGTGCCGCGCTTTAATTTTTGAGCAATGACATGTGATGTATGGCCAGCTGCTCTGTGATAAAATTAAACTTTGAACATGTGTAAGGAGAAGAACTCTTTGAGCTATAAATACCAAAATGAGTGCAGACCTGTTTTTAATAATATAGAAAACAAATTGTAAATGATATCTTCCCTTGAACCACATATGCTAACTAATACAGATGGACATTGCAGCTTGTGTATTTTTGTGTATTGATGCTTTTGGTTTTGTTAGGCTGTCTGTACAGGTTATTTGCCAAAATGACAGTGATTTAATGTTTTTCTATGAGATAGTGGTGTTAAATAAACTACTCTCTGTCACTGTAGGCTGTAGTTACATGTGCCACATATTCAGTGAGCTGAAAAGAAGCCTTATAAAATGGTCATTACTTCTTAATGTTATTATATAATTCTATGGTTTTTCGACATGTCCTGCCTCTAGCTTTGACATCCTCCTACCTGACCGGCATACGGCTGTCAGTCGGCACATTTATTGTGCTAGACTACATCTCCCTCTGGGATTCCTATGCAGGATGTGTGAGAAAAACAAGGGTAAAGATGCTCAATTCTCCAGGGCAGAATGGATATCCCCCAGGTTTGCAGCTTCTGCATTTCAAATTACAAATGTGTGAGGACCATGTTTGTGAGAAATATGCAATACTGGTTGTTGTGATCAGATGAATGCATTCACAAAACATCTTGAAAGATGTTATTTTGCACATTTTTTGTTGACAAATTTTCTTGAAGACTTGTGTTTTAGTGGAACCAGGATGCTCCTTAATCTGTCCTGAAGGAGATGGATAGAGACTCTGGAGAATCATAAAAGATTCTGCAGAGAAACTGCCTCCATAATAAGCACCTGAAGAAGTGCTTTGGAAGCCTCTAGCGTGGAAATGAAATATTGGCCAGGCATGAATGAAATAGGATTGAGAAGTAGGGGCAGAGCGCTGTAAAGCCCTACCACAGCAGAGCCTCCAACCGGCACAAAATCATAGGAGATTAGTGCTGTTGAAGCCCCATGGCCCCTGACTATGCACACAGCCCCCAGTGCACCAGGGCCGGTGGGGGATGGTACGGGTCAGTGCTGCCACCACACTCTGTTGTGCTGGGGCTAATTTGACTCCTCTAAAGTTGACAGACAGCCTTCAGTGCCAGTGCATCTTTGGTTTGCTGTTTTTCTCGTGGCTGTCCGCAGTGGCTCTAATTTCCCTGTGATTACAGCGCTGTGTATCCGGTCGCCTCTCTCTGCCACCCCCCATCTCCTTATCCTCCTGAAAGTTTTAGTTATTCACTGTACGCTCCAACAGTTTGCACAATGTGACTGAACATCTCTCCGCTCTCAGCGGGAAACTGTGGTCGGGGCTTTGACATCCCTCGTGTGTGGTAGCTGTGCCACCACTGCCATTGATGTTACTATGAGACTGTACATAATTTACATTGCCATCTCTTTATAAACAGCAACCATTTTATTTTCTAGCATTCATTGTAGCGCAATATAAAAATCACTAGAAAACTGTATCCTTGATGTCTTGTGAACCATGATGCAATGTGCTGTAGTATCCTTGTTAAACACACTGTATGAGATGACAGAACTAAGAGCTGTGCTGAAATGGGTATTCACTGTTTGTACTGTTTGCTTAATTAATTAAAAGGGTATGTTGTCTCAAATTGATAGCAGAGATTTGAATGCAAATTATGCGTTTTGCACCAAAAGCAGCTGTGCCTTTCTGCCATTGCCGCAGCTTTGTGTTTATATTGGATTCTCTTTGGGGTTTGATTTTAGTGTAGCTTTTGTCATTCAAAAAGAGCCGCAGAGATTTCAATGTACGCCTCTTGCATTTCAATGTGACTTTTTTAACTTTGCCTTTTATGTCACAAAAATAAGCCCATCTCTTCAATGAAACTTCATTTTATTTTTTTAACTCGTTCATTTTAAGGCTTATATGAAGAGCACTGGTGACGTTTGATTTTTCTGTATTTTAGGCTGGAAGAAAGGACAAAAGTGATGCTCTCAACACTGCCATTGACCGGATGACCAAGAAGACCAGAGACCTTCGCCGACAGGTTATATTCCTATTTTTATTTTGGACTCTGATTCCAATTTTATTCTGATTCTAGTCTAGTTCTTGCCTGGAAATCCAGAAGGATATTTCTCTGTATTTGGTACAGCGATGAGTCTGGATTCTTCCAGGCAAGTGTAGTTCTAATTCTCTTGCATTTTTTACTATTCTTTTACTAGTAACTTTTTAAGTGTTTAGAAAAGCGCTTTATAAATAATAAAATGTTTTATTTATTTATTTATTATTTTGGTTTGTTCTTGTAATGTTCCCATGTGGGTGCTCCATCGGGATTAACTAAAGGGCTGAGTTTTAACTGTGTCCTAACTTCACAGCTGCGCAAAGCCGTAATGGACCATGTTTCTGACTCCTTCCTGGAGACCAACGTTCCCCTTCTGGTCCTCATCGAAGCTGCCAAGAATGGAAATGAGAAAGAAGTGAAGGAGTACGCGCACGTGTTCCGGGAGCACGCCAACAAGCTGATCGAGGTAACTGTCAATGTGAATCCTAATCACACAGGGTTAGCTTCATACAGATGCCTCTTTCATTTTGACCTTTACCTATCAGAGACTGGGAACAGCAAATCACCTGCCTTTTTATAGCAAGCAGAGATTTGCTTTAGTCAGATTAGTAGGTTTATTAGTAGGAATACACCAATCCGATTATGAAAATTTTTCATCGAAAATCTCACAAGGTTTGATTTATTATTCATACAAAGTTGTTCTTCACATTTTTAATGCCTTAAAAAAATGAAAATCTAAACCAGTTCATTTTAAACAGTTTGCAGTGGTCCAAAGTTATTCCTCACTTACCTTGAATTGTAAGAATTTATTCAAGGCGATAAGTTTTTAAGCGCTTTTCACAACTTTCAGAAACCATAGCTGTGACAGTAACCCCCAATTCACACCAAAGCGCAACGGCCTGTAAGCGCAGCAGCACAGCACACGAGCAGCAGACGCGCTGCTAGAACTCCATTTTAACCGGTCTGACAGTGTACACCGACAGTGTCATACGCGCGTCCAACGACCGTCTGACGCTGACGTGCTGCTCGAGATAGGTTGGAGTTCTAATTTTGCAGCGTCAACGGCGCGTCTCCAAGGTTTTTAGCAGGGGAAAGACAGGAAATAAACACGCGGTGTCAAAATAAACTTCCGATACCCTTTCAAAATAATTTAACCAAAGTCAAGACAGCGATGTAAACAACGCCCTTAAAATTCCAGAACGTTAAAACTCGCCCGTTTCAGCGACTAATCATCGGTGCAGGACTCTGTATCAACATATAAACGTATCGGCCTTATTACCTGGACGGACATATGATTTTAATCACACTCATAATGTATGTTAATTATACGTGATTTTACCTTATTAAGGGAAAAAAAAACTGAGGTGTTTAATGTGCGTGCTAATAGATTTAAACCTCATTAAACGCAAAAGCGTTGCAGTTGTACATTTAATTCATAATACACTTAATACACATTCTAACTTAATACACTTTAACATAAAATAAATGATAAAAAGCAAGTACAAAATGTGATGTCTGAAAACAGTGAGAAGATGTGCAGGCTGCTTAGCAGGAGCATCTCTGACGTTCTGGTGTGAATTGAAACTTTGAAATTTACGCGTACGCGCAGCTCCGCCTACGTTAAGCGCTGCTGCAGCTCCTGGTGTGAATTCGGGGTAAAGCTTACAACAACTCCATGCTACTTATGCACTTCATGGTTAATGGACAATAAAACTCTTTATAATTAGATGTAGACAGCAGACAGAGGACATATTTTGAGTACAAAGCATTTTATAATATGTTTCCAATGTCTAAAATCTGCTTAACAGTTAAGTTTAACTACTAATTTAAAAACATGTTGCACATCTAATTACAAATTGCCATTTTTCTTTTGAAATGGTGCCATACTTGTTCCTATTACCTTCAAATGAACAGGATGCTTTTTCCATGTCAGTGAAATGACAAAAAGTCCTTTATGGCTTGTGACCCGCAGACTGCCTTAGTTAAGCATTAAATAGAAGCTTGTAGTTTTTCCCAAGTGAAACCTCAGATCACAGAAAAGAAATAAATAAAAAATCTGTGGCATCTTTTTCCCCAGTGAAAACAATGTCCAACATTGAAATGATGTTGCTCTGTCTGCCTCAGGTTTGTTCCCCCAAAGCTGATTTTAATCGGACACAGTGCAGCTGCTGTATTGAGCGGGAAACTACAATATTGCTCTGTGCGGTCAAAGCTACAAATCAAAATTTTAAGTGTAACCAAACTAGTGAAACAGGCCCAACTCAAGGATTAGTGCTTCCTCTGGGAAATTCTGTCCTTGCCAGAGCAGATTTATCCTCACAAACTTCATGTGTGCTTTGAGTGCCACTTACAAAGATAAATTTCATAAAAAAAACAAAAAAAAACTTTATACCCCCTTCAATTGACCAATGCCCTGGGAACTGCATGTTTATTATTTTCAGTTTATTGGAGATAGTTGTCCCAATCCAGAGATCAGTATTGGGGTCATTGTAAGCAATTTTATCATATGGAAATGGATTGAGTGTAGTGACTAGATTGGGCCAGTGTCCTGACCGACACTGCAGATTAGGGATGCACTGGTCCTGCTTCTTCAGTTACGATACAGACTTTGATACTATAGCTTTAAGTGTATGCCAATACCCGATGAAAGAAATAAGACAAAACTCCTCCATATGTGTCATGTAGCCGTTATTTATTGCTAAAGTAAATACAGAACTGCATTGTTTAAATAAAAATTCAAACATCACTGGACTTTCTGGGCCATATGTCCAACCAGTATATTTGGAAGCCGATATTTAATCCAGCTAATTTTTCAGTATTGATGCCATGAAATGATACCAGTATTAATTACTGACAATCTGATATTTTAATCTGAATAATATCATTTAGACAGGACCTCATTCAACACCACTTACTTAAAAATGCCATGTTAGACATAATACAATAGTTGCATATAACAATGAGATCTGGATTTTTTAAGGTCTCTTAAACAATGAACTGTTAAACTATCTCCAAATGTCATTTAAGTAAAGTCTTTTTCCCCTTGGTTGTTTTTAAGTGAAACCCACTTATAGACCAAAACCACATAGAATAAAGGACTTTAGTCAAATGTTTAATTAAACTACTAAAAGAGTGTAGTGACAGTGAAATGCTCCTGTGTTTGGTCCATTTTCTGTAAAACTTGCGTCAAAACCTCGCTGACATTTGAAAGTGACCTGTCCCTGTGGGCACATGAGCATGAGTGTGTCTTGATTGGCTGGTGCAGTGGAGTCGTCGCTGTGTAGAAAGTGCTGAAGCATCAGAGAGGAAAGGCCCAGCTGCACCGAGGACAGCCTTAAGTATCTCCTGCAGCTCATGTGTCAAAACTGGCATCAGAGCATGACTTGGATCTGCTCTACCTCCAGCAGTGTCACCAGTGTACTGCTAATGCCGCATGGGGAATACAGATCTCTCAAATGATATAACCAAGAAAAATATAGAAAAGTAATCTAGTTGGTAGGAATAGGGCTTAATGGTTTGGGAAAAAATGCTATTTTTTCTAACAAGTATTGCAATTGACAAACTGATAAACTAATAAACTAATACAAGGATACGTTTGTTCAGATAGAAAATACAGAGTTATACAGATTAAGACTAATCAAAATTGCGATTTTGTTTCAGTTTAATCCTATGGACCTTGTATTTGAAGCTGTATGCACCCGTTTCACCTACAGTTTATTTTTTTTATTTGGCATCTTTCCAGTGCAAGTTACTCTTTCTAAATAAAAAGTATATTTGGCTTTGTAACAGAGGAACAGTCAAGTGCCCTGAGTGGCCATGAGCTTCCTTTGTGTGGTGAGGTGCTGTGGAGGAGGCCTAAGGCACATTGTCCATTAGTTCACACACTTGTTTTGAAAAGAGCATAATGACTGACCCATATTCACTTGTCGCCCCCTTTAACCACTGACTTTAGCCTTGTTTGGCAAAGCACCATTCTTCACTATGGCATTCACTGCCTGAGTAGAGTATTGGTCTACTAACCCATTTATGAACTTCTTATCTTGAACTCTGAAAGTGGATAAATCTACTCTATTTTCAACAATTTTTAAATATAGTGGATTTGCTTTATTATAACCTCAAGGCTGTGCATTTAAGAGTGTCTCCTTTAAAGTGAACAGACTATTGTTTATCAAACCACCTTTGTTCCTGAACATTTTTAATCTGTTGTGTCAAAATGGAAAGAATTAGAACTAAATATAACACCGCAAATTTGTGCGTGAGACAGTTGTGTCAACTCGGTACAACCTGAATACAAAAGTGTAAGAGGCATAATTTTATCCCCAGACAGAGACTTGTATGTGTAATCGCTATACCTGGTACTACCATTTACTTAATATGGTAATATTCTCTAGTGGTAAGAGTGATTAATTTGACAATGTAAATGTTATGTAAGCAGAATGGCACACTGGTTAATGTGAAAGTGCAGTGTCTTTATTTGTCCTCCCCATAGTCCCATTATGTTGGAATAGCCACTCTCGGTGGTGCCACTGTCAGACTAGGCAATCTTATGTGAAATGTCATGGAAATAAAACCACAGGTCTCTGAGTTGAGCTGCACTTTATCTTTATGTGTCTGCTCCCTCATGAACCTCTGTTATTGAATGATTCCCAAAGGACCAAACATATTTTCTTTATGTTGTTTTTTGTGAATAGTGTCACAGTGCACTGGTTCACCTGTGCAGCTTTAAAGGCAAAAATCAATGCTTGTATTAGCACAACAAATTGATCCTTTTTATATCTTGTCTGACACTTGAGATGTCTTTGTTTACTATTAGGAAAGCTTTTCTATATGAAATGCATAAAGTACAAGTGGCTTTTAGCCGAGACGGCATGCATTTCAACAACAATGTCTCCTATTGTGTAGTGTGTGTGTGTGTGTGTGTGTGTGTCTATAACCTATTTGGATATATTTTCTCCTTTCATATTGAGTAAGTAAGAGTTAGTCTCTGGTTATTTTGCTACATCATGTGCTCATCTCTGCACGTGACTCTGATCTACATCTCAGTAGTGAAAGTGGCAAGTGAATTATGAATTAAAATTAAAAGTAGTGCAGCCAGGGCAGACTTTTGCCTGGTTAACTGTTAACATTTAGCACATTATCTCTGCTGGATAATCCTGTTTTGGCTCCACTGCTGATATTCCAGGCAAGCCTCATTGTTGCCAGCTTCTCTGTATCAGCATATGGGAATTTTAAAGACTCTGACCTAAATATTTGTTTCCTCCTCTAAAAAAAAAAAAAAAATCATGCATGTGCATAGGAAAAGCTGTGGTGGCTTTCTTGGTCAGTACAAGAAAATATTGGTATGAGTCTGTGGGTGTTGGCAGCCGTGAGCAGCGAGGTGCTTAGCTCAGCACTCCATTTCAGCCTTGGCTGCTCGGTGTGTGAAAGTGTCAGGAATATTTGCCACTCTGATTTCAGGGGTGTGATGGTAATCTGGCAGCGTCCTTATTTAGTCATTTTCTGGAGCCTGTGCTCTCCTTTAAAACAGCTCATTGGGGTGTTTTCGGGAGACCCTTTCATTCAACAGTTTAGCAGTTGTTTACTCCCTACTGCTGCCTTTTCTATGCCACCAAAATAGTATTTTTTAGCAGTTTATAAATTAATCCTCAGCAGTGGGTTTGTATCCCTTAGAGATTAGTAGTAGTGCAAAGCTGGTCTATTTCTGATGGAGGTGCATCCCTTAAGTCCCATAATGAATGTATCTATGATAATTATGCAACTGTGATCTGCCCCTTTTCTTCTCTAACTCTAACTTCTTTTGGTTTGTATTCAGGTGGCCAACCTGGCGTGCTCCATTTCGAACAATGAGGAAGGAGTGAAGCTGGTACGCATGGCTGCATCACAGCTGGAGACGCTGTGCCCTCAGGTACTCTGCTGTTTTGCATCATGAAATCATTAATAGAATAGACTAAACATGCTGGTTCTGATCTGTGGGCTAGTTTTTCATTATCAGCCCAACGATGGAGTCAAATGTAGTGAAAAACAACAATTGCTAATATCTCCTTTCATACAGATATTGAGAGCAGCTTTTAATACATTTGAGCCCTATCGGCTTTATCTCTGTGCTGCCAGTGCTCTCCTTAATTGCATCTAATGACTTCATTTATTCTGAGCTTTGAAGCCCACAGATGTTTCCTCTTGGAAAACAAGTAGCTATTAGTTTTATTTCATCCATTTATTTATTTCACCAATCTCTCAGTATCTTTAATCAGGTCCCAGGACTGAATTGGCTTCCCGTGTCAGTTATTGTGGTGGGTGGGACTGGCTTCATGCAATCAGCCTATGCTAATATTGTGGCTGAGGGCTCTGCCGTAATGGGGCTTTAATAGCTTTAATTGGGTGATTACAGGTGATTAATGCAGCGTTAGCCCTGGCTGCCAAGCCCAACAGTAAGGTGGCCCAGGACAATATGGATTTGTTCAAGGACCAATGGGAGAAGCAGGTCCGCGTCCTCACGGACGCTGTTGACGACATCACTTCCATCGATGACTTCCTTTGTGTGTCAGGTGAGTACTTCTTATTACCGTGTCCTTGCCAAGAGTTTTTGTTTAAATAAATGCGAATATTACCCGAGTACACCTGCAGATTCAGGTCTGCTTTGTGTTAGAGGCCTTTATACACAAGATGGAGCATTTCAGAACCTTTTTTTCTGAGGAGGGCGGTACATCTCAGAGCTAGTTGTGTTTTCCCTTTGATCGAGAAAAAGGTGAAGACAGCAGACGCATCAGCTCTGAAATTGACATCCTGTCACATGTGTTAAAGTACACAAACGGTTTGTCAGGCGTCGTCTTAAAGAGTTCTCATCAGGCATTAAGCAGAGTGACTCCTCTCACCTCCAGCCAAGGACACACCGTAATTTATACACTGGACATTAGCATTTTACAGGCTATCCAATAATAAACTGCTTCAGAATTTGTCTTACAGCAGGCTGCAAAGAACCTGATTTTATACAAAACAGCTTTGCATTATTTTTTTTATTCTATAACAATTGTTGTCTAAGAGGGGTCTTGAACTCCCAGTATGCTGTAGTTTAGCCCTGCAGGAGCGCTGCAGCTGTACTATTGAGCCACATGACATCACAACTGCTTCAAATACCCCTGTTGTCAACATGGATTTAAATAAACACTATACACACTAGACACATTTATTTTAAAATGTGAATAATTTTCGCCAAATGGAAAACCTCAAGTTTTCACATAACACAAGAATACATGGCATAATATGTCAAATTTATCGATTTGTCGTTTGTGTAAAATACCACTCTTATAATCAAACCACTGTTCCCTGTTCAGAGAACCACATTTTGGAGGATGTGAACAAGTGTGTGATTGCTCTGCAAGAGAAGGACGTGGACGGTTTGGATCGCACAGCCGGGGCCATCCGGGGCCGTGCTGCTCGGGTCGTTCACGTGGTCACCTCCGAAATGGACAATTACGAACCGGGAGTGTACACCGAGAAGGTGCTGGAGGCCACCAAACTGCTCACAGACACAGGTTATTCCTGCTTTTTTGTGTCTTGCAACAATTGTTTATTATAATTTTAAAACTGATGCACTTAATTTTCTAGTGCCTGTTTTACATTGTTATTGTTAATCAACAAAAAAATATATTATTAATAGAAAAGAAATACAAACTTAAAAGCCTAAAGGTTTGGGTGCTCCTCTTGCACACAAATCTCAACTCTGACTAAATTCAAGGCAGACAGATGATTTGTTGTGGCAATAAGAGAGAAACCCAAAGGGAAGTTAAAATATTATGATTATGAAGTGAATAGAATCATAGCCTAGTAGTAGAATATCTTTATTAGACTGTTTGGCTGCTTAAAGTCCATTGCCTTTCACTCAACAGTTATATTGAAATGGTAAATACTGCGTTTCAAATCTATTATTGCAGACGTGCCTGAGAAGCACTTATGGAGCTGCTGTCAGTAGAACAAAATGCATGTCTCCTGGCAGAGCTTTGTAAAATCTTTTATTGGGAGAAAAATCTCCAATCTATTCCTCTTAGCATTTGTTCTATATTTATTAAGTATTAAAATAAAAAAATCCAATATGTAGTGCCATTGCTAGGGTTTATAGGCAGTAATAGTTTCTGTACTTGTTTATCATTTCATTTTTGCCCTTTTCATACGATCTTGCAGTAGACCCAAACTGTCTCCCCGATGTTCAAGTGCGTTCCTTTCAATCTTTCTCCTGCTCTTTTCTTTAGTCATGCCACGCTTCACAGAACAAGTGGAGTCTGCGGTGGAGGCCTTGAGCGCAAACCCCACACAACCTGTGGATGAGAACGAATTTATTGATGCGTCCCGGCTGGTGTATGATGGCATTCGTGACATTCGCAAGGCTGTGCTCATGATCAGAGTGAGTCTTATGGTTTTCTGTTTTCTATGCTGTCACTGATGTTAAATTTACGTCCTCTGTGTAGCCTTTCTCTTTACCGTATATGCGCTTTTTTATTGAACTCCTTAGTCAAGAGTATTGAAAATCTGATACTCATCGATACTAAAACTGGTATCGAAACTACTCACTTGAGCAGGTATTGATACTAAGAAGTCACATTCACAGGACATTAAATTAACCTTATCTGAATATCTTTAGAATGATCTTGAGCTGTATCAGGGCATATTGACCACATAGACCACTTAGTATAAGCCCATGGAGCATTATGGAACCCACCTGGACCAGAGGGATTGCACCATTATAAGACTACATGGTAATATAAAAGAAGTACTATTACATTTTTATAAGCACATTCTATGGTTTAAAGCGTGGTATCTGAATCAGCATTGAGTATTGAGTCTATTCCTCAAAATAGTTTGTCATTTTAGTAGTGTGATAGCACCATCTTTAAAAACCTTGTAATCCAATGAAAAAACAGTCTTGATTTGCTTGCATTGATGTAATAATTTTAATTAAAATCACCATATTTATGACTTTTGCAATGAGGTGCAATAAACTTATTTTGTACACAGTATGTTCCATGGTGCCTCTTGCAGATGCCATTTTAATGGTATGTAAGAAACTGCATGTGTGCGATTCGTACAAGCCAGTGATTAACTTGTCTCAGGCATAAGCCAACCTAATTGACCAGGTTTGCAATCTAGTGTAACAACAGCCTTGGATGTCTCTGGGTTAATGGCCTCTGCCTGAGTGGAGGTATAAGGGAGACAGATGGAGGGTGAGCACAGCAGAAGCGCTTTCCAAATTGACTGAGCTGAAAATGAGAAATCTGTAGTATGTTAGGCTCATGCTTGGCTCGTGTCAAGTACTTCTAAGTGTTTTGTTGTTGCGGCGCCTTCTATAAATTTCCAGATAGAGCTGCACAATATATCACAATTGAATTGAAATTCCAATTTATCTTGATGCAATTATTAAATCCAAAGGCACATTTGAATACTGAAATGTCCTCTTCAAAGAACAAAACATTGTGTATTTTAATGACAAAGCTTGTTGTTTACACACAAAATAAATGTTCTATAATTTATGTGATTCTTTTTATTTACATGCAGCTGATGTTACCAACATTCCCTGGGGGTATGACCCTAACTGTGGGATCTGCTCTCTCTGAGGTGTTATTAGAGTTTAATTAGAGCTTTATTTTAAGACAATCTGACCATAAAGAACAGATTTAGATGAAACTATAAGTGAGATGATTTTAAACAAATAACATTTCTCACCAGCTAACTACCATTAGCCATTAGTTTGTCAATAGAAAGGTGAGAATGACAAACTGAAAATCAAACTCTGAATCAGGACCATGATCACTTGTATTGAACACAAGCTCGTGAAAATGTATTGTCCTTTTTTTTTAATTTTGAGACAATCTTGAAAATTTGTTGGCATTGTTTGCTAATGTCAACATTGTGTCGCCGTGGCCATAACAGCTATAACTCCTAAACATTCCATCATTAGAGATACATGTAGAACACCCCCAATGCGATATCATTGCAAAGTATCAGTATTTCGGTTTTCTCAAATTTAAATGCTCTTCAAGTAATTCACAATGTTCACAAAACAGAAGCCTTCTTTTTAGTAAACTACAACTCTAATCAATAATTGTCAGACAAGTAACAATTAGATTTCTTTTTTCTGCCATTGTGCAGCTCTAGTTTCAGATAATGCTATATAAGCTCTCTTTTGTGAGTTGGATTTAGTCACATGTCCTGTGCATTTGTATTGACGGTGCTCACTTAAGCTTCACTCATTAATACTCGTGTTCCTGCGCAGACAAAGCTCTAGATGAGAGAGGCGCCTTTATGCTGACTATGTATTGTAATAAGCAATTGATTCAAGAATGGAGCTTTTAATTAGCAGTTTTTTGTCGGACTGCGAGCTACCTCCAGAGCTCACGTGCCGCTGTTTTATCCAGATTGATTAAGCTGTTACCACTGCTCCTCTGGGACTCGCCGGCCGTTTGCTTGTAGGTGTGCGAAGACGTTAAAAAATAAGAGGATTTATATTTTTTAATCCAGCCGTGCCCCTCTGCTAACGTCGTCAGGAAGCAATTTATAGTCTGAAAACATAATTCTCTGTTCAGTCGTTCGGTGAGATTTATTGTTAAAGGTAATTGCCACAGGTTTTGATTATTCAACACAATCGCACAGCTGTTAGCCAGGTACTTATGGCCATTCAGCTTGCTCTAACCGCAGTATCCTCGTACCTACACATTTGGCTGTGGGTAAAAATGATCTTTTCGGCATTTACATTTGAAAGACAATTGTAAAGTATTTCAGCCTCTGATAGCCTGTGACGTCAATGCTGACTTACGCACATGGTTGAGTAGATGTGAGAAGACAAGTATGGTTTTAGGGCAGCGTGAGATGGACATGTCTTTAACCCCTGTAAGTGGTGTACAGGCAGCGTGTTGCATGTCCCCTGGATATTTGACAGGTGGACTGAAGCCCGGTGACATCTGAGAATATGCCTGCAGACATCCGACAGCGCCTGACAGAGATGCAGGGGGCAGTGGCAGAGTGTGCAGAGCCTCAGAACCCAGGGTGACGGCTGCTCTCTGCTTAAAAACATGACGAGCAGCTTGTCACCCAAATAGAAAAGGCTTTTGCTGCTGCCCTGCCTGCACCTGCCACAGATACCTACACAAATAAGTTTTTTTCCTCTTGTCACTCTCGTAAACTCCTTGTAGGGTGGGGAAAGACGCTTTAAGGTCTTGTGAGAGTACAAAGTGGTGAGGCACATTTCATTTTGATTTGTTTCATCTCTTAAAGGGCAATTAACTAACTTGGTGTCATTGCACATTACATTTTATGTATCATAAACAGTAATAATCATACATTATACTATTGATAACTTGAGATTAATATAGACATGTATTGGAAGTAGTAGTTTGATTTTGTTTGTTTTTCTTTTAATACCCTAGGTACTCTCGTAGAACTTTTTCTCTTCCTTGCAGTGTATGTATAAGTAAGGCCCATTATGACAATTAATCTGATTAAGATATTACAAACACAATAAGTAAAAATTTAAGAATCCAATTCAAATATATTATGTTCTATCTGATTAAATTACTTGGAACAGTCAGTTGTGGTTGTCGGGCCAGCCTCAGAATACTTGTGTACTTGTGAACACATCTCTTATCAGTGACTGTGTTCTGCATAGTCCCGCTGATGCCTAAATTTGCAGACTTGTGTGGAGAGTTGGATACAGAGCTTAACTGCCAATGCCCGTTCTGAGCCCTGGTCCCTGAGCCTCCCGTATCCACAGGTTATCTGGTGCACAGGCACGGCAGGTGATATCTGTGCCCCACTGCACGCCATTGTCTGCACTGAAAGAGACGCCTCTGAGTCACTACAGCTTTGAATCTCCAACCATAGCTCTGCTCCCCTGAGAGTGGGAGCATCTCCACATCCCATAAAGAAGTATAAGGTTGTTCTGAGACCTTCAGTTATTTTTAGAGTCCAGGGCTCCAAATCCATTACAGATGGAGGTATTGAGACAGCTGGATGAGCACAAGTAGCGGCGCAGGCGTGATAATGCACCTTTATCTGGCCACATCATCTCCCTGTGCCCATATCGCAGCTCAATACATTTCCCTGTCATTCTCTATTGTATTTTGCTTTAGGCGTGTCTTGTTGAGACAGAAATGCACCTCTATTAATATTCATGGAAACTTTTCCTGTGGTCTGCTTTGCATTCAGAGCCAGGGATCCGGATCAGAGATGAAGTAGCGCCACTCCAGAAGAGCATAACTCATGCCTCACCCTCTCCTCCTGATAGCAGCGACAGATGGGAATCTGAGGCATTTTGCTCCCAATATGTTTCAGAGCCACTCTTCCCTTCATTTTCCCTCTCAAATTGCAAAGGCAGCACATTAGACTTGATTTACAAATTCAGTTTACATTTTTTTTGTGTGTGTGTGAGGTATAGGAAGGAATGAGTTTATCAGCCGTTGTCATGGTGGGAAACACTAAAGCATTTCTTATGGCGTAAGCACTGCCGGTTGCTTATTTACTGGCACTCTAAAGGTTGTATTATGTCTATATAATTTCCCCCATTTCTCTCTTCTGTTGTATCCTGTTCATTCCCCTCATACACTCAGAGCTGTCTCTCTTTTGCTGTGCTGCAGACCCCAGAAGAACTGGATGACTCCGACTTTGAGACGGAGGACTTTGATGTGCGCAGCAGGACCAGTGTGCAGACAGAGGACGACCAGCTCATTGCGGGCCAGAGTGCACGGGTAAGTTCACTCCACTGTGTTTGCACCAGAAACAGCAGGGAGAGGGTCATTATCTGAAGGCAATTACACACAACAATGCTGCAGGGATATGGAACAAGGTTACACTGGAACACATTTAGATTTTATGAGGCATCTCAGTGCTTGGTAAAGTTGTAAACAGCTCAAAACCTCCACCATATTCTAGAAGTTTCTTTTTACAAATCATACAACTCATATGGTGGGGCATAAACTTTGATCCTTGCTTAATTAATATTGATATTTATGAAAAGGATCTTTTCTTTTTCCATAAGTGACATTGAAATTCTGTACCATTCTGCCATAATCCAGTGTAATGTGTTTAACCTGCATGGTGACCACCTGTCACTTTTGGATTGTCCTGCACAATCTTTTAGGCCCTCAGAGTATGTTCCATTTTGTCACTGATTCCACATTAATGAAGTGTGATATACATACATGATACTTGTTTTTGTTTTTTTCCTCACAAAGACTTTGATGTACTGCGTTGCGCTTGAAAATTATCTATATATATTTACAGTTATTATGTGCTTCAATTTCAAGTACACCCCTCCATTCCCCACAACATTCAAAAACATGCCCCCCTCTCACAATTTGAGGTGGTCAGTGTATTAACCTGTGTTTTTGTGTTGCCATACATCAGTTGAATCCATTAAAGGCACTTTAAAGAACTGCCCTGAGGCACTAAGCTAGTTCCATGCTTTAGCTGTATATAGAGGTCCGTTGCGCTAACCCTTAACGGTCTCTATAAATCCTCCTTTAGGCCATCATGGCACAGCTGCCCCAGGAGCAGAAGGCAAAGATCGCTGAACAAGTGGCCAGTTTCCAGGAGGAGAAGAGCAAACTGGACGCCGAGGTTTCCAATGGGACGATAGTGGCAACGACATCATCGTACTGGCCAAACAGATGTGCATGATCATGATGGAGATGACGGACTTCACCAGGTCAGTATCCATGGCTGCCAGCGCCGACGACCAGCCTGTGAATGTTAATGTCTCTGCTGCCATCTCCTCATATGAATGGCCTTTGTTCCGCAATACGGGGGAAATGCCTCCAAGACAAAATACATATTTATATTCAGCTTATGTCAAACACAATCAGCCCGGGCCTACATCTGTTTGATAACATTTGACCTTTCTGCTCTAGCTCTATAATACCATGAAAATACAACACAGAGGTACGTTATGATTTTGTTGAAGGAAGAAAACAAGAACACAGAAATGGATCTTTTGTACAGTGTCCATTGACCTATATCATAAAATGCTTTTAATCTGTGATGCACAGGTCAATAAATCATGTGGGCTGTAGTTTCACCTTGTGCTACCTGTAAAACTATGCATTCTATTTAAGTAATTTAATCATCGCACATTGGGAATTCAACTCGTGAGTCACTGCTGTAGTGATAATGAAAAGCTTCCAAACCACCTTTGTTTTCTTAAGTCTCCCCGTTGTCTTGCAGTTACCAGCAGGAAATGGGTCTGTAAAAATAGGATCACCAGCTATACAACTAGAGTACCACTACTAAACCCAAAGCATTAAAATTCATAACCACCTACTCTTATTGATGATACACAATGGATCTTAGGGCACTTCCATCTCAATCTCTACCATCCGTGTTTTATTGTGGTGTCATGGTTAAGGCACGCGCACGTGTGTACGTGTGTATGCGTATGTGTATGTGTGTGTGCCTGTGTGTGTGTGAAGAGGTTATTGATTGCAGTGACATGTTTATATCCACATAAAGGCTGCATCTCCCTCAGTTTTACAATGCAAAGCAGATCAAAGGATCCCCCCCCCCATTTAATTTAATTGAAAATTCCTACTTCAGCTTTAGAATCAGGGGTACAGGCCACATGCTTGCTATCACATACACAAATCTCAGCTTTTTTTCTCCCCCAAGTCCAGAATTGGATAGAATCTCCCCACTTCCCACTGTCATCTTTCAAATGCCTTATTTTTATACAACTTGAATTTTGAACATTCTTTCCAAGGTAACTCAAGGAAGTAGTTTTTGCCCTTTCCCACTCCTTATAGACATCATGGCACAGCTGGTCTATGGATACATCCTTGTAACATCTCTATGCATTAGTAAAACGTTTCTGTTAGAGCTGAGTTTAAGTGGCCTTGTCCCGATAGCCCACGCGTGCCCTGCCCACACAAAATCTTAACACTGGACTTGTTGAATGTGACGGCACAGTACACTGTTAGTGTGTTCTTGCTGTAACTCTCCATGTGTGACACTAGTTAAAACATAATGTATGCCTGTGAGATTCCTCTGTTGCCTACCTGATGGAGTTGTCACCTAGCAACTACCGCCGCATGGTGCTGGCATCCATTATTTACATGACTGCTTTGATTTTCCTCAGCCAGGCGTTAAAGAAAAACCTATGGAGTCAAACATGTCACGAAGACATCAGTCAGGGTTGCCATGAGAGTCAGGCAAGGGACTCTAGGTCTCCAGCATGAACTCAGATCACATTTAGTGCCTCGGCCATTTTCTATTATTTTGTGTTTTTTTTTTCTGTCATTAAGGTTTGTGTCATGGCCATGATTTCCTTTAATATCAGGATTAGTTCACACTGTGCAATTTAAACACATCCCGTAGATAAGACTGGTAAACTAATAGAAGAATTAAATGCATTTCACAACAGAGGTCTAAATTTCAGAACTAATAGGTTTAATGAGTATAATATAAAGCATATGGACACAGCTGGATATTTTGTTATTGGCAAAGGAAATCTTATTATAATCTCATAATTGCACCTATTTCACCATATCTTGCAGCCCCCCCTTGGATTGCTTCTGAGAGTTATACTACTGCTACCCCTGCAGAAACTTAAGAAAATATGTGTGAGATTCATGCCACTGTCAACTGTCATAATGCTATACTGTGTATATTTGTCGTCATGTTGTAATCTTGTCCACCAGCACTGAAGCAGAGTGAGTGTTGGACTGACTGAATATAATATATAGTTCTTCATATGACACCATCTCCGTATCATATGGAAGGTCAGTGGCCGGCTAATTCAGCGTTCGCCTAAATGATCGCCCCCTTAACCTTGAGCTGGCATAGAGCCTCACCAAGGTTAATGCTGTATGAAGTAATTGATCTGGACCTCCATCCTGGCAAACCTGCAGAGAGAGAGAGGCACTCTTGTTGACTTGTGCATCGCTCACGGCTGTATGGCAGCGCTCATGAATAACCCATGTGAGGATGGGAAATATGCAACATATTTGGGAGCCACCTGTCTCAGGGCATTGTGTGCTGCACAGTGCATGGACTATTGCAGTCTACTGCCATCACCAAGTGTCTCCATAGACCTGAAATTCACAGTAATACATCCAAACAAACAACACAGGAGCTGCTGGGCTGACAGTAGGAAAACAAGGTCTTGTATTGTGAAAAAATAAGATACTATATATGTAATTAGTGGCATTAGAGGAAGTTAGGGTAAAGATATTTGACGTTTACTTACACTAAAGCTTTCTGAAGGTACTTTAATACCAACTCCACACTTTATTATGACATAAGTGTAGGGAAATACAGTGCTGGTCTCCACAGCGTACATTAGATCATGCAGCTCTCCTCGATAGCAGGGAGCACACAGATGAATTAAACATCAGTTCGAGCTACCTGCAGTGGTTGCTTTAGGAATAAGCCCAGTGTTGTACCTTGTAACTGTGCATGTGTGGATGAGATAGTTTTATTGGGACAAAGTGAACCCTATTTTAAAAAAGAAAAGGTAAATCGCCCATGCATGTTTGTTTCCCATAAAGCCGGAGGCGCCGTCTCGTGGGGCTGCTTTGTCCCCAGAGTTGTTGGAGGCTGCACTGCGATGCAAACCCCCTCTTCCTCTAGGACCTCATGGGTGAGATACAGAGGGAGGAGAGGGAGGGCCATGGGAGGGTGAGAGGGGAGAGGAAGGCACAGAACACAACACAAAATTCCATCTGTTCGGGGTTGGATAGCTCATTTTTTAGCCTGGAGAGAGCAGCTTTGTATCCAATTTGTGCCTCTTGCCAACTGTGTCCCCAAGTCCCTCATGGGGCCGATGGTTGTGGAGCTTTACAGTGGGTCGGGTTGGGGTTGGAGTGACCCACGCCGGCCGCAGCTTTGGGTCTGGAGATGAATATGTAAAGTCAGGACAAAACCCAAAAGCCTGAAATCATATCGGCCTCTTATCACGCTACATTTTTAATATCGTCCTCCATTCTTCTTCCTTCTGGATGAAAGGACTGCAAATGAAAAGCTGGTAGTGCATGTCATGTCTTTAACGCTGTCCAGTTTTTCTCAACCATGAAACATTTTGTTTTTCTTCCACTAACAAAACCCTTCAAAGCGGCTTAAAAACTGGGGCATTTTATTTATCGGGCTTAATAAGAAATAGCAGAATGCATTTATTATATGTATTTGTTATGGAGGCTGCATCAGGAGAATCTTTGAGTTTCTTAAAAGCCTATTATGGAGATGTACTTGATGTGCTAATAAAGTAGTGCTTATTCAGAGTCTCGTATCAACAGCCTCAGTAGTTAGTGATTTTCTATTGGCTCTGCTGTGTCCAGTGTTGTTGTTGTTGCTGTCAGGGCATCTCCACTGCACACCTTTGTGTTTGTGACTTTTCCATGAAATATTCCTGTGATCATGCTGTCTTTCTGTGCTGGCTGTGACTGAAAAACACCAGTCCAAAACAAACATGTCTCTGTGTTGAGAAGTTGCTCTTGCATTTTGAATGAGGCTGCAGCAGATCAGAACAGTGACTGATCTCTCCACTTTCCCTCCGCAGGGGGAAAGGCCCGCTGAAGAATACCTCTGATGTCATCAGCGCTGCCAAGAAAATCGCAGAGGCAGGATCCAGGATGGACAAGCTGGGCCGCACCATTGCCGACCACGTAAGTCCCAAAGCGGAATGCCCTGTTTACATGTGACCTTCTTACATAATGTGGCATGGAGGCAACACGGTGAGGTTAATGAATTATGTGTAAGCAGAGTAACACAGAAGAAATAGGACTGGGAAGTAATTACAAAGATTACTCTTTTTTATAGTAATGTTAATCTCATCATGTGCTCTCGGATTTACATTATAGACCCAACCGCGGTTTGATTTTTGTTATCTGTATCAGTACAAATTGAATGGTGTTTAAATTCATTCTCCTATAGAAATTGTTTCTTAGACTGAATGTGTATCTTATCAACACAGAGGAGCAACATTAAAGAAGAGATGTGGTTCCATTAGAAAAGAGTTAAACATATAGCATGCAGTGTTCAGTTAAACCAGTCTTCTTTTACATGAAATGGTTTCCTCAGTGTAGTATTGTTCTGAACATATATTTGTCACTTTATGGGACTCTACAGAGACTTCCCTCAGTTCAGCTTTTCCAACACAGAACTTGTTTTATTCATAGCGACTCTCACTTACCCATGTTAATCACTTTGTCACCACATCAAACACCATCTCCCCTCTCTTTTGCCTCCACCCTTATTCCATCATCTTTCCTTCTATCTTTTCTCCAGAGAACAGCATTGGAAGCACACATTCAATTATCCATAGCCTCATATTTCACTTAAATACTAGTCGTGTAGGCCTCTACGGGAAGACTGCATGATTTATGTCACAACTTTAAGTGCCATCTGAGTCAGCTGTGACTTATTGTCTCTATACGGTACATACTGTATATTTTGTATAGTTTGTTTTTGATAGAGTTGCAAGTGCAACAGGACGCACTTGTCAGATTGAGGTCTGTTTGTGATGTAGCTTGTCTCTGTGGTTGATGCTCCAGCTCAGGAAAAAGCCGCATTGGCTTTAGATTTCAATTTTGATAGCATTTGTGCTATTGTCAGGCACTCAAACATTTGAGCTCTGCTGGTGTTAACAGATCTGTTGGTTGACTATAAAACTGCATAAAGTAATGACCAGACCCAAGGCACAATTTAAAAGTCTGTTACATTTGGACAAATTGTGAATATAATTTGTATTTTGTCTTATAATAATCTCTAATTTTCCTGCACTAGGTGGTAATTATATAAAAAAAAACTGTCACTTGGTAGACAAAGAGTGGAGGACAGTTTCATAATTGTAGCTGGAAGATGTGATTGGCTCCAAAACGCCTGGCATCCACACTTCCATTTTGAAAACATCACAAAATACTCACTCAGGCTTTGACAGCAATGTGGCTGAACTTCTTCTCATTTCTGGCTGTCATTTACAAATATTACAGTAATTTTTTATTTATAGATGGTGTGTGTGTGTGTACGTGTACTTTTTTTTATTTTTTTAAAAACCCATTATGTTAGTAATGCAAAATGTGTATTAGTTAACATTTTTCAGTAACCACAACTGGCTTTAAACAGATTTAAATCTCTTGTAAGAAATAAAGCTGCATGCCAGCAACTTTTTTTGTAAATGGTTAAAATGAAATTTAAAAAAAAGCTACAACTAGTTCATAGTTCATTGAAACACCTGCCCAGGATTCTACTTTAACCAGATCCTTTTATGTGTATATTTCTAAAATTACAAATGTGTGTATTCTTTTGGACATGTCCTGCTGTGAGATACTGCACCACTATTACTGCACTTTGTGCCAACACATGCAGGATCTTCTTTTAGCTGAAGCAGTCTCTCCATATTCTGACATAATGAGCAGCTGGCCAGCAACTGCCCTGCTCAGCTAATATTTTATTTAAAGTTACCCTCAAATCTTCAATATTACAGGCATGCTCTGATCACACGGCAGAAGTCCTACCTGTCCTGACCTAATTGCTTCTGAATGGGGAATGGGCCGTTCTAGAGTCTTTTCTCTGCCTCAGTGCCTTTTTGAGGACATTTATTCACTTCATGAAAAGACTGTTTTCCCCCCAAAGGAAGCAGATGCGCGGCGGTGCAGGTGTGGGCTCTTCAGACTCTAAAGACTGGCCTCAATCTTCCCTCTGCACGTGTATGACCGCTCTGTTTGCTCCACTGTCCCACTCCACTATTTGTAGGTACTGGTTTGTGTGTGCACTATTAGGGGAATTTGGGGATTGAAGCACTCAAAGTATGAATAAATGAAGAGCTTTGGCTGTTGGAGCACAACTCTTTGCCCAGAGTAAAGACCCCTCCATCCTCTAAACTCATCCAGCTGTCCTCCTCAGCCTCTTCTCCCTCAACACAGACCAAACAGAGGAGCAGGCGACACTCACCACATGCCAGCAGCACCAGGACCCTGGTGAGGGGCAAAGAGAGGAGGGAGGGGGAGAGAGGAGAGTGAAGGATGGATATGGAGTGATAAGAGGAAGAAGGGGCCCATGAACCTCCTGAGAGATGAAACCATTATGAGCACTTCGCCTTTTAATTAGCACGATAATTGCCAGGTGGCAGCTTTTTAATGATTTATTTATGTGGTTTATATTTAGGTCCATACTGTTACAAAGCAGGAGACGCCACAGGCCCACAGCCCTGGCATTTGTGGATGGTCTGCATATTGCAGCAGAAATATTTAAGCGAATCATCATCAAGATGTTGGCACTCTGACACAGTTGTATGAGCAGAGGCGATGCTGGGACTCCTCATTAACCCAGGCATATTAATCACTTGTGCTGTGTGCCTGTGGCCCGCAGGACCTGCAGGCTCTCTCCTTCATGTAACACACATTGGCAGATGGTCTTGGTCTGATACTACATCGCCTCAGCGCTGCTTCTTTTTGTAGACTTTAGCATCAACATACTTTTTCCATCAGGATTCTGCAGGAGGACAATGTCAAGTTTGGGATTTCTGAAAATCTGTTAAATATGTGTAATGGAGCCACATTAAAGTTTGAAGCAATGAGTGTAGCGCGAAGATGAGCTGCAGGATTTAGGTCAGGACCGTACAAAGGTCTGCACTGCAGTTTATTAACAATTTATGACCTCCTCTGCAGGGCACCTTATGAGAATTCCATCTGGGCGACTAGTAAACAAATAATGCTATGTAATTGAGATTTATAATGCAAATGTGTTAGCCACTGTGTAGCCCATAAATTTCCACAGCCTCCCAGGCTCACCACATAAACAGTTTCCATGCACACGCTAACACGTGCACAGAAACTTGCATATTTAAAGAAGAGCCATGTGCTTGCTATGTGCTGGTAGTGTGAGCTTTATTCTCATGATGTATACTGACATACATAGTGTACTTTTCCAATTTGCATTCAATCAGGAGAGATTTATGGTGATCCGTGGGGCTGTGTGGCCGGTCAGTCTAATCCCGCACCGGCCCTAGACGCTTTACAGCAGACAGGGTTGTAAATTACCTACTGCAGTGGAGAAGCAAACTCACCCAGGGAGCACACAAATTCTCAGCTCAGCAGTTCAAGGGTCAGCCCTCAGTCCACTACAGTCCAGTTCAAGTAAGAGATGCCATGTCCGAGTCCACCACAACATCAATCAGAAGCCACTATTGTTTGTAATGCTGTATTTTATCCAGCGACTAAGTTGATTGTACTACAGGGGGTTCGCGCATGAAGAATGACTGTTAAATAAGAAGCATATTTTTAAAAATGCCCCTGGCTGCGTTTAATGCTAGTCAGATTTACAGAAAGCAATGATATAGTCCTCTTCTTAAACTACAGCTATGAACTCTGAAGTATCCTCAAGGCCATTGTGCCCAAAGTGAAGGGGAAAAAATAAATCAGGTGCATTTATCACCCAGAAAACAGCACAAAATATCAAAACAGGAAGGCATTTCAGGATACACTGTACTGACAGTTTTATAAAAGTTATACTTTTTAATGTACTATTGCAGTTGTATTTTCATGTAGCAATTATGTAGTTGAAAATTGAGGTTAGTGTGAACAAAGTCAAATTTGTGAATGTCAAACATGCCCCACAGTGAAAATGACTTTATCCACACTGGTTTGAGTTTTGCTTACAGGTGCTACAGTACGGCTCTGACTGACAGCTGCAACGCGGACATTAAACATTGATGAGTGCCATTTAATTGGTCCCTGTGGTTGGCGCTAAAGTGAGCCTTTTTGGCTTGCCCTCAGCTCAGATTTCCCCTGTCATTTCGCACTATGTCAAAATCCCTTCAAATATTAACGCCACACAGAGGTGGGCAGACATCGGCAAAACTGTTGCACTTTTTAAGTGCTTGGTATAAGATAATAGTTTATTTATCAGTCCAGGGAGAAGTTAAGTTGATTATTTATTTAGTAGAACAAAGAGGATTTCCTTAAAATGTATGCAGGGATGTGATATATTCATATTAAAATAGCAAGAATATTTTAAGTTTTGTTTTAAAAATGTGCAAAATGTTAATGAGCAATTTTTACTATAGAACACCTGGTTGACGGGGATTAAACAGAGACACACTGTTATGAATAGGTTTGCAACCCACTCACTTTTGATGCGAAAGTTACCTTTATGACATCTGAGCACATTTTTGATTGTTTGAAAAAAGCTCATCTAATTTATCACCATACATTTTGGCAAGACCACCCACCATGCTTGACCTAACTGCCACTGAGCAGCTGGTTTATTGGTTTTGAAGGAAACAAAAACACAACTCCAGGTATGTTTTTGAGGAGGTAACAACATACTAACATGGTTTTAAACTCACAAGAGTAAATTTTGCATAATCTAGGACCTTTAAGCATGCCTTTTCTTTCCCGGCTTAAAGTCAAGAGCTGGTTTATTACAAATTTTCTATGCGTTTTCAAATTCAAAGTCATATTTTTGTTTGAAAGGAATGGACTGTATAACACAAAGAAAGAAACCAATCTATCTAACATGTATTTGAAGATGGTGGCAGTGGCAGTGCTTTTATATTGTATCCGCCCCCACACACCCTTTCTAGGAGGTGAATGCACATTTCTATGACTTGATTCAAGCTAAAGATGACATTATAAAGTTTCCTAGATCTCTATCCCAGATCTCA